TTTCGCCTCATCGGTCACTCAGAAAAGCCCAGACAGCTGTCAATCGATGGATTCAACTTTCAGGGGGAGGAGGAGGATGTGGTCTGTAGACTTGTTTCAGATGTAAATGTTGGATTGTGAAAAACTAGATTTGTTTTAACATCTTTTTAAAATAGTCCTACCCAATTTAAATTTGTAATTTTACAAAATCCTCCAATGAACCCGCCTGGGCACTTTGTGGATGATTAGACAAACGCAGGAGACAAGACTGTGCAAATGGACAGCGTTGGTGATATGCAGTTGAACGAAAACCTAACCTCAGCCTCTTCTGATGATTCCACATAAAAAAAACCTGATAATAAAACTGCAGATTGTTTCACTTTAGACCTCAATAATAAAGAATATGGTGACAGAAATAAGTCAAAAGCATGTAAAAAAAATAATAGCTGCTGAAATGAAATCTGACCAAAATCATTACAAAGTCTAAACCTGCAGCTATATAGAAGCAAAGATGTGAAAATAAAAAAAAGCAAAAGGGAAGCAGGAAGCCAGCCTCCAAGTATCAGGCAGGCTGCTTTGTGCATGAGGATGGGGTGAATGATAGACCCAGAGAGAATAATTGAACTGTGGATTATTGGCTAATAGACTCTATACCACCAACTCTCATTTGAAACCAATCAGTGTCATTATGGTGCAACACACTATCTGGTAAATCATTGCTGGCTCTGCGTAGTCTCCTGCATCCTGCTCCTCCTGCATCCTTATTATTATAAATGACTGCGTTCATTTCTCACGAGATCCACACCAGAAGAGATGACAAGTACAGCAGATCAGGGTGCAAACCAAACTAAAACAACAGGAAGTGATTCATCTGGGCTAAAGTATCCGTTCACCTCAGCCACAAGCAGGCACCCAGAATAAAATGATAAACTCACCAACACCGATTTTCTCGTCCTCTGTCGGTGTCCACATGATGCCCCGCTGGAGACAAGAGCACAGTCCCGACCAAGTGGAGTCACCCGTGGGGTCGCTTCATGGATCTCACCCGGAGAGGGGGCGAGACAGAGAAGGGAGCCAGAAGTTTAGGTGATGGGAGGAAAAACTCCGATTTAAAAATGTTTACGTGTGAAAGTTAAACTCTCTATCCCGTCGCGTAATGTTTGTCCATCTCTGATGGAGACGCCATGCGTCATGGAGACATCAGTCCAAACGGGAGATTCGGTTCTGGAGCCTGAGAGGGAAACGGCGCAGCTCCTGTTTTTTGTTTGTAAACCAGCGTGAATGACGCAGATATCACTTTAGAAAAGCTAAATCAAGTTCTGTTGAGCCTCGTCGAAATGTCCTGCTCAATCTTCCAAGTCCTCGTTTGTCTCTGCCACCTCTGACTGAGTTTGTCCCGCTGCGGGTGGGTCCGGGAGGTGTGAAGCCTGTGGTCTGGAGCAGGAGACTCCGCTGTTTGCCCGCTGCGCCACCTGACCACCGAAGGCTCTGTCTGGATGACGCACTAAACTATCGCAACCAGTAGGGGATCCTTCATGATTTAAGTGTGTGGGTCGGCGTGGCGCGTCCGTTCCGACGCACACACGCACGCGTAAAAGGAAACGCGGGATTGGGGGCCACGGAGGCAGGCTGGGGTGCTTCCAGCACAATGTTTGATGAAAACATTAGATGGAAAAGATTCCAGGAGATCACGTGTTACCCCACCAAGCTGTGAGTGCTAACAAACATCCTGTAGGACTGCAGACTGGTGGCTCTCCGACACAGCTTCAGCTTCAGCTGCAAATGTTTGTAGAATTGCGCCACCGTGTGGATCCAGCACACAGGGAGTTACTGACTGCGCACAAATGTCAAGGGGCACCTGACCTTACTGGTCATATTTCATCAAATCTGACTAGTTTCACGTGACAGCTGTTATAAAAAACGCACTTCTCAAATTCAACTCGGAAATGTAAGAAAAAGCTGTTAAAAAATAAATATTTTACTCGTGATTTCTGTGGAAATCTGATTATAATTAAATGTTTTTGACAGATTTGTCTCCATTGTTAAATTTTAGTTTTTAGAATTAGTTTTGCTGGATTTAAAAAAAATGCAGAAAACGGTCAAACTAAACACATTTAAAGGTAAACTTTACCCATATTTGTAAAGTTGAGGAACAATGACAAATCATTTAAAAAATCTGATTTCTGATTTTAACGGGTCCCTCTGAGTGTTTCATGCAGGCTGAACATGAAAATAGTCTCCTACACCTATCTCCTGCATTAGCTTCTGATAGGAAACAGACGGTGAAACTGTATTAGAAAATCCTGACAGATCTCAGCATTAGCATTAGATGTTAGCATTAGCGACTCCACCATACAGCAGAACTGCTCCAGGCTTGTGTTATTTGTGGAAGTAAAACATCAGCATTGCAGAATACAAGGACGGGTGTGTGCAGGACTAATGTGACTACACCTGCTATGTTAGTCAGGAAGCTGCTGCAGCAATCTGTCACCTTTGGTCTTTAGCCTGGTGCACTGCACAATCAATCGATCAAAGCTTTATTTATAAAGCGCCTTCCGCAACCCTGTCAGGAAGCTCAAGGCGCTGAACATGGTACAGTAGAAGTACAAATATAGTGAATAAATCAAAAATAAAAGCTATTCAAATTACAAAATACAAATTACAAAAAAAGGTGAAACATTATAGTACAGGACAGATGGGTAAAGCAAGGGATAGAGTGAACCAATGAAAACTGTGAAAGAAATTCAACGTAAAAGAGGGCCGAATCAAACATGTTCAGGAAACACCAAGCAGAGAAGGTGTGTTTTTAGGCGACTCTTAAAGACTGGCAGAGATGGGGACAGCCTAACTGAGGGTGGCAACTGGTTCCAGAGAGACGGTGCTAGGACTGAGAAAGCCCGGTCCCCGCGAGTACAACACCTAGAACGAGGGACAGCGAGCAGGCCTTGGTCAGAGGAGCGCAGAGCGCGTGATGGGGAATGTTTGTTCAGGAGTGTGGCTAGATAGGGGGGAGCCCCACCCTGGAAGAAATTGTAAACAAAGACGAGGATTTTGAATTGTGCACGATAGCAAACCAGAAGCCAGTGCAGGGAGGCCAGAACCAGACTGATGTGGTCCCGTTTCCTGGTCCCAGTCAGGAACCTTGCTGCGCTGTTCTGCACAACCTGTAGGCGACGCAGTGATGACTGACACAACCCTGCATAGAGAGAGTTGCAGCAGTCAAGCCTAGAAATTACAAATGCATGCAGTACCCGCTCCAGGTGGGCTCTCGACAGCATAGGCTTGATTTTTGCAAGGCGTCTCAGGTGAAAGAAACTGGACCAGATCAGTGAGTTGATGTGAGCCTCAAATTTAAGTCCAGCATCAAGTTTCACCCCAAACTGGTAACAACTGGTTTAGAGTAGGGAGAAAAAGGGCCAAGATCAACATAATGACCCACATTCCTGCTGTTGGGGTGAAAAACAATGAGCTCTGTCTTTCCCTCATACAGATGCAGATAGTTGGCCATTAGCCAAGACTTCACCTCGTTAATACAGGACACAAAGGACTGGATAGAGTGACCGTTCTCCTGACACAATGGAGAGTAAATCTGGCAATCGTCAGCATAGAGATGGAATGATAGGCCATGTTTACGAAAGACTGACCCCAGAGGTAGCAGATAAATGGCAAACAAAAGAGGACCAAGGATCGACCCCTGCAGGACCCCCCGGTGGAGCCCCTCCCAAGAAGAAAAAACATCACCCAGTTTAACGCAGAATGTCCTGTTGCGGAGATATGATCTAAACCAATCCAGAGCTGACCCTTTGATCCCAACCCATCGTTCCAAGCGATCGAGTAGAACACAACCAGTGGGCTTTGATCACTGGACCTCAGGGACCTGCTGGGGATGTAGGGACTGAGAAGATCACCAATGTAAGATGGTGCTTGTCCATGTAAGGCCCTAAAGACCTGAACATGGATCTTGAAATGAACCCTGAAGTTGAATAGTGACAGTGAAGCTGGAGGAGAAGCGGGGTGATGTGGGTGTGTTTGGAGGACTTGGTCAGAAGCCGAGCACAGGCATTCTGAACCACCTGACAATTCAGGGAGGTTCTGCTAAGACACGTGAAAAGAGTTGCAGTAGTCTAAGCGTGAGGAGATGAAGGTGTGGAGAACAGTCTCAAGTTCAGAGCAGGACAGGATGGGACTCAGCTTAGCAATGTTCCTGAGATGGAAGAAGGAAGAGTGAACAAGAGAACTGACATGAGAATCCAGGGTGAGAGCTGGGTCAAGGGTCACACCAAGATTCCTGACAGGGGGTTTGGTGTGAGAAGCAAGCTGACATAAGAGAGTTTCTGACTTTGGGAACCAGCTTGTCTGGGGCACAGATGATGATCTCAGTCTTATCTTCCTTCAGCTGTAGAAAGCTCCCAGCCATCCAGGTTTTAATAGAGTCTAAGTAGGTGTGTAACAGCTGCAGCTTAGACATCTCATGGGGTGAAATGATGCAATAATCACATATATATGGTATGATTTTAAAGATAACTGCACAACATGTTTTATTCATCTTGAACTAGTTGAGCTTTTGTAGTGCAGTGACAGCTGTGATCCAGCAGAGGGAGCCCACACCATAACGTTTTATTACAGCTTCCAAGTTTAGAAGCCGCTGTTTTAAAAACAGCAGAAGCGTGAGTCTGCAGTCGGTGTGAATTTGCTGTCTCCGCGTCTGCAGACGAACTAATGCTTTAAATATCAGCTGAATCTGCCCTTTTAACGTTTTGGACTACAAGTCCCACGAGCAAGTTCACCTCCTTTCGTCATCTAATATCGACCGTTGTTTGATGACGTAGCCTACAGTCGCCGGGCGAAGTTTGAAAATGAACGTCAAACTTTTTTCCCCTTAAACATTTAACGCCAGTGTTGTTTTTTGACAATTTTTCTTTCAAGTTTAGAAGAATTTCATCAAAGTGGGAAACAAAACGAACAACACTGAGCAGAGGAAGCTGTTCCCCAGGTGAGTAACAAAAAAGCGTGATGAGAACATGCTAGCAACCTGAACACGACATTGTCAACATGCTGCTGCTAAAGCCTCCCCTCACCGAGGTCCGGGCCTTAACTGTCCGAGCTTATCTTACCGGAACATTACCGAGACGAGACGACATACTAACGCAGAAGGACGTGCAGCTTGAACTTGATCACATTAGCTGCGTTTTGGAACTGCTAGCTGACTTCAGCCACGGGAATAAAAGTGTCAGAAGAAGCGGGCGCTGGTGAGCCAACTATCCCGATGTCTGGCCCACTTGTTGGGGTGGATTTAAATAATCTCAGGGTTGTTTTCGTCTGATTAAATCCTCTGGATTCACCCCGAAGAAGAGATGAGGCTGCGGCCACGAAACACACTCCGACAGGGGATGGTGGGTTAAATGAAAACTGTTTTTATTCCAGCTCCATGCTGCTTTTCCTCTCGGAGAGGTTGTGGAAACTAAAGAACTTTAATAAAGAGACTTAATGTGCGTCAGGCATTTTTATCATGAGTGATGTAAGAAAGACTTTTAACCAGAAAAAAACAAAAACAACTGAAAATCTAAGTGCATTTTATTGTGAAAGTGACAGGTTTACCCAATGAATTTAATAATTTCCCACTAATTTTGGTGTTGGGAAATGTTTAGTAATCATTTAAATTGTTTATTTTAGGTAAAATAATCCACGAACAGCTCAACATTACATCTCTGTAGTGCAACATTTTAAGCAGACACATTACTGGATTCACCTGGTTCATCAAATAAATGTTATTGTATCTTTTGAGATTGATCGCTCTCACCTTACCTGTACCTGAAGATCTTTGCAGATTTCTGCGAGTTTGATGCTAGATTTTTATACGATTGTTTTGGGTAAACTAGAAGACGACAAAAACAAGTCACTTTAGCTGGACCGTGTTATTTTCACTACCACTGGTTTATCTTCAGACTCACTAGTGGTGTTCCGCCCCTTCACACAGCTGAGGAAAAGTTAAACTAAAGGATCATCTGTTAAAAATCAAGTTGTTGGAGAAATTAAATTAATCTGTTATGCAGAAAAAATTAGATTCTTCTTTCTATAGTCAGAGGTTTACTTATCAGTGGGCAGACCTCACAAAGATGGATTTCTACTTATAATTATTTGACAGTTTCTGTTATCTAGCCTGCATTGAACCTCTTTATTTGTTTATATCTGGATTTTTGATTTAGCCCTGTGCTCATGGCAATAAAGTGATCTGAGTCTTGGTTTGGGTGGTCGGTAATATTTTCATCCTGCATTTATCATCTTTTAATTCCGTTTCTTCTGTATTTTTACCTCAATGCGCAGATCTCCAACCAAGTCTCTTTGGTCCTCTAAGTATGTGTCACGTTTTGTAGTAAAAATGTATTTATATTTCAGATGATATTTTATGTTAACACGCCTGGGTTTTCACGACCTTTAGTGCTCATGTGTTTTACTATTTTAAATATTACTTTTAGATTATTTTTCCTGCGTTATCTGTATTGTTCTTGTATTTTATTTAAAATTTGACATTTTTTTTCCAGAAAGAATATTTTTGTTTTCCAAACTTGCTGCCTAAAACTTGCCTCAGAAGTTTTTGTCAAACGGTTTCTTGCATTCTAGTTTATTCTGTTGCTCTGTGAGCAAAAACCACAAGAGGCCACTTTGTTTTAGCGTTCTAATAGAATAGAATAAAACCCTTTATTGTCCCACAGTGGGGGGATTTTGGTGCCACAGCAGCAATGGCATTCACAACAGAAGCAAAAAGGAGAATTAAAAATAACAGAGTAAAATAGATTAACAAGTAAACAAGAGTATATAACCCATAAATAGACTAAATATTGATACACGTTAAAAAAATAATAATAAAGAATAACAGTGTGGAGTATTTACAGGGAATGGGAACATGAAGTTACAGAAAAACAATAATCCATCGTGCCTCAGCCCTTACAGATGGTTTACCACTGACCTACTGGATGATTTGACCCAACGTGTTGTTTTCCTTCTGTTTTCCAGACCGTGATGTTCTCCCCAGGTGACCAGCTTTCAGCCAGCGCGTCCGCTGTCCTGTCTTCTGCACTGACAGCTGCTGTGTCGGCTGCCATGGCGATCGCCACGGCGGTGGATGCCAAGGCTGATCTCGCTAAACTGCTAGACGAGTGGGAAGAAGCGCAGCAGGGCACCACAGATCAACTGGTGTCCATCTTGACCAAGTCAGAACCGTATTTGTTAACGGTTTCAGAGTGCTTGTTGAAGAGACAACTGTGTCTCAACTCTGTGATTTTTTGTAGAATATCTGAGCTGATTGAACGGGAGACAGGAGAATATCATAAAGCAGACCCAGATCCGTTTGATGATCGTCATCCAGGTGTGTTCACTTGATCTTAAACTTTGTCTTTGACTCAGCTTTTGTTTGAAACTCCTGAACCTGGACCAGACAAGTTGTTGAGTTCCTGTTTTGTTTTACTTTTCCAGGACGAGCGGATCCAGACTGTATGCTTGGACAACTGCTGAAGATGCTCTTTATGAATGATGACTTCACTAATGCGGTAAAAACAGCTGATTGTGTTATTTTGACACACTGTAGCTTTCATAGTACGATACATAAATGTTGTTGTGATAGTTGGGCGTGGCTTAGGCACGCTACTTCCAGGCCTGCTTAAAAAAATGAATGGGAGTCTGAGAAGGTAAAAGTTACTTTCTGATTCTGTTTGATATGTGTCATGGATTTTACCAAAAGAGCACTTATTTTTGACAGGCGGCAAAAGTTGTTTTAGGTGGGCCTGAATCAGGAAGTACAAGTCAGCTGGAGGAGAAATTAGCTTCAGACGACAGGATTTGGAGTCTTATATCTGGACATCTCTCCTCTGATTGGCTAAAAGCAACACGACTTCACCACTGACTGTTTGCTTTACGATGTTGATGTTTAATCTCCACAAATAACACAAGCCTGGAGGAGTTCTGCTGTGTGGTGGAGTTGCTAGCGCTAACGATTAGCTTCTACCAGCCCAGATGTTCACTGCTGTTTCCTGGACGCTAAACCAACAACAGCCTCCCTGTCGTGAGTCCATGAATGCTAAGTGAAATGTGACGTAGACCTGTCAGGATTTTCTAATCCTAGAGTTTCACCGTCTGTTTTCTTTCTCAAGCTAATGCAGGAGATGAGTGTAGGAGACTATTTTCATGTTCAGCCTGCATGTTGAACTCAAAGTGACCTGTTATAATCAGAAAAAATATCTATTTTCAGTGTTTCACACCTATAAAGTGAAAATGTTCTCCAAACTCCAAAGCCAGTTTCGTTTACGTCACAGGGAACATTAGTATTCATGGCCCTGCCCGCCATGGCTTGTGAGCGCCCACAGGAAGGAGAATGTGCTGGTAGAAGCTAACAATTAGCATTAACTCCACAAAAGGATTTTTTTGGAAAAAAAAAAAATGAATAGGAGCTTTGAGCTATTTAGTGACCTTAATAGTTTGTTTTGAAAATGCAAAAACTGATGAGGCTTATTTAGGCGTTTTATAGCGGAGTGCCCTGATCTGGGAAACAAACTAGATTTATAGAGTTTTCACCCTCTTTGCACATTTTTCAGCTTTTGGACTCGTATATAATGAACAGTCGAGAGCTGAGACTCAACACAGCGGCATGTCGCCTCCTTCAGAACATCATGCCGGGTCTTGATGCCGCTGTTGTCTTTGAGGAGAAGGTAAACTTTGTTTCTTTAAGAAAAACACAGTCAAACAGGATGTCAGAAGCTTTTCCTTTGTTTAAGAGTGAATATTTAGTCTTGAACTGCATCACAGAGTAAATCTGAATCAGATGGGCTGTATTGCCATATGTGTGGGAAATCACAACATTAGGAAATTGCTGCGGTTCTTGGTGCAAAAAAAAAAAACAAGAGATAAGCAAAAATAAAAAATAAGCACAATTAAATAATAATATAGAGATGCAAAATGGGTACTTGCAGATAGTTTGCTATTGGTCAAACCGTGCAAAAAACTTCTGACTTTAGTTAAAAATTGTCTCCTAATCATGAGTTAAATGTCTTTCCTATTAGATACTAGACCATGCAGCTGTTATCAGTTATCAGGCAGCAGAAGGCAAAATGAAGCTCTTCAGCAAAAAGGAACAATTAAAGTTTTCAGCCAGAACGAAGACAAGCAAAATGATTTCTGAAGGAGTCTTCCATCTGTGTGCGTGTTTGTTTTTCCAGGAAGGTCTAGTAGAGAAGTTGTTCAGCTGGGCCCGTGAAGCCGAGCGGCCGCTGTGCGTCTATGCCACAGGTCTGCTGGCCAGAGCCATGAGCAACCAGGAAGTGGCCGTAAGCTACAGAGAGCACAACACTCAGCTGGTGGGTCTCTCACTCATCCACAGTGAAACATGCTTTTATACACTGCCTGGCCAAAAAAAAAGGTTGCACCAAAATAAATATATATTTGTTGATTAACCAAAGGTTCCTTATCTCCTGTGACCATCCAGGTATCTGTCGTAATTAAGCGTCTGTGTGAACTACAAGTCTCAGAGACATCAGGTCACTTTAGTTCCTCCCAGATGAATCAGAATCTACCTCAAGACTCTCAGGGTGAATCAGCTCAGACCTCAAGTCCAACCACAAACAAGACAGAGGGGAAACGCGTGGATGAGGAGGAAACAAGGATGGAGAAAGAAGAGAGCAGCAGCTCAACCGCTACTGCCAAACCCCCATCTCTGAGAAATGGTGGCTGCAGCCACACCTCCACCCGCCTGCTTCCAGACTTGGTTTACCAAGCAAGTCCCGATACAGCCTCAAGGGAAATGGAGAACGCTGATGGAGGAGAAGAAGGAGGGGGAGTAAAGAAACGGAACGGGAGAAAGGCTAAACAGAAGCTTGATTTGACCTCCTCCTCCAAGAGGAGCGAGCAGGAAGAGGAGGAGGCGGGGATGGTTGGCACCAGCGAACAGCAGACCAACAGCTCCTCCTGGTCCGAGATGAGTCTGATGTTAATCGGTTCTGACTACTGCCTTTCACCGCTGAGCCCGGCCATGGAGCAGAGGCTCATCTTGCAGTATCTGGCTCCCCTTGGAGATTACCAGGAGGTGAGTCAGTTTTAAGCATCAGATTCTGAGTTTTAGATTATTTTAACCCTTAAGGACCCATGGTGACGCTGGTGCCACAACCCGCTTCAAACATCTGCAAAATTGCTTCTTTAGTCAAATATTCACATTTGAAAACCCTGTTCTATCCATACATACATTAAAAATTATTCTAAATCTTTGTTTTATTTCATTTGTTTCTATATTTTGATGTATTTATTCCAATCTGCTTTCTAATTAAAAAGGTTTTGGGTTCTTAAGGGTTAAAAATGAGCAAATAAAGTGAATAAAACATTGAATCACCCTGCTAACGGTTTTGAACTACATACATCCTGCAACCCTACCGCTGATACCAAAGTACTTTAGCCCTGGTTACCCGTTTTACCTTTAAAAACGTTTATCATACAATGTACTGTATAATCTTAATCTGTTTGTAGTTGCTTGCTGTGTTCATGAAACTGGACGTCCGATCGCTGCTGATGAACTACATCGACCTCAGGAAGACTAAAAACGTCCAGCTCACCTTTGATGCCCTTCTGGTAAGATTTAGATTTGCTTTTAAATCCACACGATGCAACCCTTTCATCAGTTTTATGTGTCGTTAGCGGGTTGTGATTGGTTCTTGTCCTTCATTCCTGGCATTGTGCTTTTACATGTTCACTCTAACATGCATTTTCATGCTTTGTTTTTATGCATTTTACTCATTTCTCTGTTTTTTGCTATACATCTGTTGTGTTTTAGCCTTTGGCTCTTTTAAGTACAGCACTTTGGTTAGCTGCCCTGCTCTTAAACTGTGCTTTATAAATAAATTGGTACGGTATGGTAAAAATAATGGAGCTGGAGCACATTTCCTGCATGTTTTAGATCATGAACTCAGCTGATATTTTTAATTTAGTGATGAGTCTCTGTTAACAGAGTTGCTTTACCTTCAGTGGCTAACAGTAATATCCCAGGTGGACGGTGGGAAGTAGGAATAAAAACTCCCAATAGATCAGTTTCCCTTTTCTGACGGTGTTGGTACAAGATCTGCTCGGTTGCAAGATCGGCTCGGGCTCCTTCGACTGCCGATGACGTCAAAGTACGGCAAACCCACTCGGACAAAATACACTACACATCTATACTGTTGGAAAGAATTTAGCAGTTTCGTTATTAAAATAATGTTTCTTAAGACGTAAGTTTGTGTTTATAATGGTATTTGTAAAATAAAACTATATTGTATTCATAATGTTGAACTCCTCTTTGAGCACATCCCTTGAAGGATCATAGGTATTAGCAACACCTGTGAAATTGTATTTGCAGGAAAGAAGTCTGTCCCGTTTATTGAAGTATTTTGTGTTTAGAGTTTTTGACGTCTTGTCCATGCGTAGTTCAGTTACGCTCATAGCTGCTATAGCCAAAACTCTGGAGTTAAAAGTTTTCTGGCTTTACTATATACCTGTCTGTACTTATTTGATTGATGGTAGTTTTACTTTCTATTAGACTCCAAATGTAATCATTTGGCACGTTTCTAATTCATAATTTGTAAGAATGTAACCGGTGATATTAGCATTAGCATTCCTATGGGTTTTTCCACGTATATTAGCATTGCGCTAACCACTCGCTGCCTCATTGCAGCCTTTGCGATTAGAAAATCTCCTTTTGTCACATCACAATTTAATTGCACATGCAGTTAATCGTTCAGCCCTAATATACATGAAGCTCTATGCTAAAAGTGTATTTTCAAAGATGATGGATTTCTTTGTAAAAGTTGTCCATCTTTCCAACAGAAAGATTTGCCTGGACCAACGTAACGTGATACCAACGTAACGTGATTATGTAATTCCGTAAGGTTCATGTTCAGCCAATCAAGTACTTTGACGTCATCGGCAGTCGACGGACCCCGAGCCGATCTTGCACCTGAGCAGATCTTGTACCGACAACGGCTCCCAGCACTTTTCCCTCAGTGCCTGCTTGGACCAACAAGCATCTCTGTAACTGCCACTCACTGTGACACTCAACATTCATCTGCCAACTGCTGGAGAGAAAGTGGGCCGTCCCTTTAATAACATCCACACTGATTAGTCATTGGTGTCACTTGTGGACAGACAACTCCTGTAGAAACTAATGAAGGCTGAGGAGACATTTCAGCTGTTGGATTAAGGTGTTAAAAAGACAAAAGTTTGCCTTTGCTTTCACCAATGGACACTAGGGGGTGCTAAAAGCAAACCAAAACAACCAAGAGTGCCTTTAAAATTTCTTTTATTTTCCAAATTAGTTATAGAAAAAAGAGTTATGCCTCTCTCTGAAAATATTTCTTTCCATTAGAGACTTTGCAGAACTTTGAGAGTATTATGGTTTTTGTAACTATGTAATAGTTTTTGTTCAAGGTTTAAGTAATTAATTGATTTTTTTAATTTATAATGAAATTATCTTTAAATATTAAAAATATACATAAACCTGTTAAATGATAATTTTGACAAAAAAGCACACATTCACCCCATAAATGGAAAAACAAACGGGGCGCCTGAACAGAAAATCAGTTTAATTGAAGACTAATTAAAATGTGTAAATATATATTTACATTAAATGCATATTTAATAATCTTGTAGGAGTAAAGCAGAAATGTTTTATCCACCCGTGCCTGCTCTACCAAATCTACGTCTGTGTGTGAAAGATTATCTCCACTTTGTGGGCGGGGCTTATTTAGGTGTCTTAACGCTGCTGCTTGCTCGCTGAAGAGCTGGTGGTTGCCATGGTAACAATAATAGCAGGAAACTATCATTAATCAGTATTAAGTGGCTGAGTAGAATAGAAAAAGTTATATTTATTGCATTTATTGAATGCACTTATCAAGGACTGTTCATATGGTAATGATATCCGTTTGCTTTATTTAGTTTCTCGCTGCGCTCCTCCTTCATAAAAAGTTTGCTGCTGATTTCATTGCTCATGGAGGTGTGCAGAAACTTCTGGAGATCCCGAGGCCTTCCATGGCAGCAACAGGAGTTTCTCTCTGCCTCTACTACCTGGCCTACAATCAGGATGCAATGGAGAGGGTACAGTGAATAAGCACTTACGTCCGCTAGGCTGATCTTGGGATTTTGGTTGATAAAAATCAGCTCCATGTAGGTGTGATGGAGTCCCGTGTGTGTCTCACCTGTGTTTTCTTTGCTTGTAGGTGTGCGTGCTACCCGATGGCGTGCTGTCAGATATGGTGTCCTACGCCCTGTGGTTGTTGGAGTCGTCCCACTCTTCAGGCATCTGCCACGCCACCATGTTTTTCTCCATTTCTTTTTCGTTCAGGGTGGTGCTGCAGCTTTTCGACCAGCAGGATGGTCTGCGAAGACTTGTGAATCTGGTTAGTACCAACGCTTCTGCCACTGTGGTGTGGCAGTTTTTGTTACTAAATAAGGACAGAATAATGAAGATAATACAAGACTAGAGTTCACAGAGAAGAGGAGGCTTTGCTGCACTTTAGAGTGTTTGCCTGCTGTTGTAGGTTTGAGGACACAATTCCTATCTCTGCCACACGAAGGTCTTAAATTCTCAATATTCCTGCAGAAAAGTTACTAATGAATATTAATGCATCACACCTATGGTAAGGATTAAATTAGACATATTGTGATGATTTTTGCATTTCTATAGTCTTTAGTCATAAAAAGTATGGATGCACCAAAATAAAAATTCTTTGCTGAAACCGAAAATGAGGAAACATTAACCCTTCAAGTGTCAAAGTCACAATATTGCATTTACCAAGCCACAGCTTCAAATATAATCCGTCATACATTTTTTACTTTACGCAAAAAGATATTGGAAATGTGCAACTTCAATCTGAGCAGCGCTCTTGGGTGTTTCTATTGAATTTTTTGAAGTTTGAAAACCGCCCCGCATTAGGGGAGAGGAGATGAGCGGAGCTCACAGAGGGCGAGTTTTATTATATAATAGAGAGGAGAAGCTTACAATGCTGACAGGTCTGTTCACTGTTGACAAACCTCTTTGACTGCTAATGGCTGACTCCGATTCTGAAGAGTAATGTTCATCCAGTGAGGAAGAAAGAGACGCTGCAGCTTCTTGAGAGTAAACACGCTTCACACACACGATCCAAAGCCGATTTCTCCATGATTAGGACATGGTGGGTTTAGAAAGGATGGTAAAAACAACACTAATAGTGACAGACGTAGAGGGAAAGTCAAATAAAAGATGCAGTAGATGTGAAATCGAAAGTAAAAAGTGCGTCGCGTAATTGATATGAACATTCCAGCAATTGTAATAAAGCAGCATCACTAAAAGGAGTGAAACTTTACTTTTGAAATCCGTATGAATGTTTTTATAAAGCAAAGAGCAAGTTGTCACACGAGGGATGAAACAAAAACAGGGTTTACCAGTCTGTGTTTTTGAAAATCATACTATTTTTTTATCATTAGGTGGTCAGAATAAACACCGTTAAAAAGAGTCTCCCATCTTCCTGTAGATCAGTACTCTGGAGATCCTCAACCCAGAAAACGAGGTGTCCATGATGAACGACGACCAGGTGTTCTCCGGCCGACAGACGGCCAAGCACACCTGCATGGCGCTGCGCAGGTAGAGTTTCATTCACCGGTGGAAAAGATTATATATCTGTGTATAACTGATCTTTTCCACTAGGTTTTCAGTTTTTACTTCATTTTAGTATTAATATGAATTAAACAAGCCTCTGCTGTCTACAGCTCATTGTTGTTAAAAATACAAAATTATTAATAATTGCATCATTAATTCATTTGTGAAGGTACTTTGAGGCTCACCTGGCAGTAAAAACTGAACAGGTGAAACAGTCCCTGCATAGTTCAGACTCTGGCACCGTTGTTGCCCTGCAGCCTTTTTACAAGGTAAAGATTTGTTTTATTTCATTACATCATTTATTATGTGAGCAGCTTACTACATAGATATTACTCTGGAGTGCAAATAAAGTAATAGTTTAACCAGGATCATGAGGAGACTGATGTTTTTTTTTTCCAGGCCTACACCTACACCAGAGAGCAGATAATAGAGATGATGGAGTTTCTTATGGAGTGTGGACTTCCTCAGCTCTACTGGGAACCAGTGGAAGTTTTCTACAAGCTGTCATGTGTTCCTTTAATCCTTCAGCTCATCTCCACAGCCTGCGACTGGAAGACCTACTATGGCAGGTACTCTAACTCTCAGTCAGCTGTTGGAAGTAAGGTCGACAGGCTTGCCAAAACTATTCAAGGTGTGGTTCACTGAAAAAACATGTCTTAATGATTATTTCTGATTCTAATGAGTCACTCTGAGAGGTTCATGCAGGCTGAACATGAAAATAGTCTCCTACACCTATCTCCTGCATTAGCTTCTGATAGAAATAGACGATGAATCTAGGATTAGAAAATCCTGACAGATTTACGTCACATTGTCACTAACATTCATGGACTCACCCATCTTGACTCACAACGGGGAAGGCTGTTGTTGATTTAGCGTCCAGGAAACGGCAGAGAATGTCTCGGCTAGTAGAAGCTTACCGTTAGCGTTAGCAACTCCACCACACAGCAGAACTCCTCCAGATTTGTGTTATTAGTGGAGATAAAACATCAACATTGCAGAGCAGAGTCAGTAGTAGAGTCATCACTGTTAGCCAATTAGAGGAGAGATGTCCAGATATCAGGAAATACGGCTCCACATCCTGTCATCTGAAGCTCAGCCCTGATGTGGCTCACTTCTACTTCCTGAAAGAGTACGACTTACAAGACTCTCATTCCTACTAAATGATGAATGACCCGCACTTGTGTAGCACCTTTCAGACTCAGAGGACTCCAAAGTGCTTTACACTACAGTGTACCATTCACCCATTCACACCCTGGTGGTGGTGCCCAGAGGCAAGGCCACCGAGCACACACGCCACCGGTCCCTCCGACCACCAACAGCAGGCAAGATGGGTTAAGTGTCTTGCCCAAGGACACAACAGCAGTATTCTCTGTCCGGAGCTGGGATTTCACCTACAACTCTACGATTATTGGACAACCCGCTCTGTCTCCTTAGCTACTGCTGCCCTGAAGTGTTCCACACCTTTAAACGAAGTCTGTCATAGTTTGTTCTTTTCTATAAACTTAATTTTTCTGTATTTTTTAGCACATAAAACCTCTTTTTGTCTTATTTCACCAGGAGCGACACGGTTCGCTATGCTCTGGACATTGTGGCGATTCTTGCTGTGGTTCCTAAGATCCAGTTGGTGCTGGCTGATACCGTTGATGTGTTAGATGAAAACAGGTCACTTGTTTCCACTGTAGGTCAGTAAAATGTTTTTGTTTTCCACTTAAGTTTTTGTGTAGCTCAATAGTTGAGTTACGAGTGTTTTTGGTATTTCTGCTTCAGGTATGAGCATCATTCTGGGAGTTGCTGAGGGCGAAGTGTTTGTCAACGATGCTGAGATTCAGAAGTCTGCTCTTCAAGTAATAATATTGGTCTACGTCAGTCATTTATCTACTGCTCTACCCAAAAAATGTCTAAAATAACTTTAAATTTGAGCAAATTTATAATTATCATTAAAGTCCAGTTTTTAGAGCCCTTTGAATTGAACAGCTTGTTTCTCTCTAGACATCAAACGCTAAATAATCTTGCTGCTCTAACATGAAACACCGTTTCTATTTTAGTTTTATTTTTCCATTACATGTTATAGCTGTTCTAAACCTCTGTCCAGTCTAGATCCTTCATATGTTAACTCTTCATGGGTGAATTCCTGGAACTGCATTGAATGTAGTAGTAGTAGTAGTACTAGTAGTAGTAGTAAGAGTAACGCAAGCTTTTACTTTAATTATGCTTAGAATATCCAGGATTTATGATGTACTTGGGCGGCAGTAGCTCAGGAGGTGGAACGGATTGTCCATTAGCTAGAAGGTTGCAGGTTTGATCCCATTTCTGATCAGAGAATTCTGCTGTTGTCCTTGGGCAAGGCACGTAACCCACCTTGCCTGCTGCTAGTGGTGGTCGGAGGAGCCGGTGGTACCTGTGTTTTGTGGGCCACGCCTCTCAGTGTGCCCCCGGGCAGCTGTGGCTACATCGCAGCTCTTCCCCACCAGCGTGTGAATGGGTGGGTGGCTGATTTTGTTGCAAAGTGCCTTGGGGGGGTTGTAGAACCCGAAGAAGGCGCTATACAAATACAGGCCATCTACTCAGACAACATGTTATGTTATGCTTTATTTAAATCAACATTCTCTCAGAAAGGGTATTTTAACTCCCGTCTTGTCTCCTGTTTTTATTCAGGTGATAATAAACTGTGTGTGCGCTCCAGACCAGAGCATGAACGCTGTGGGGGCTTTTGCTGTTGCCCCCCTCAGGCAGCCTCTGCACCACCAGCAGCCCCCCACCACCCACAACCGTGTGCTGGCCCACATGTGGCATGTAGTGCAGAACAATAATGGTATAAAGGTCAGAAAACAGAAAAAGTCTTTGCTTTTATGTCAGGATTTGTGCTTAAATTGTTTTTTTGGGTTTTATGTTGTAAATGTATGAATGTTTTTCACTAAACACCAAGAAGACTAAATAAAATGTGTTCCTTGTCCTCGTAGGCTCACATCCTCCTGTACTTGTTTCATCTTTCAGGTGCTTCTGTCTCTGCTGTCGGTGAAGATGCCCATCACAGATGCGGACCTGATCCGGGCGCTGGCCTGCAGAGCTCTGGTCGGACTCTCTCGCAGCTCTGCCATCAGACAGATCATCAGCAAGTTACCGCTTTTTACCAGCGGTCACATCCAGCAGGTGAGCAGATATGAAACTGTAAATGAGATGAAGACAACAGCATCATGTCGTGTGGCATTAATCTCAAACACTGGATTTGTTTTTTACACCTTTTGTATTTTTATTTATTATGTTTAAATACCAGCTCTTCATAAATAATGAGGTACTTTAAACCAGTGTAGATTAATAAAGGTTAAGCTTTTATAAAAATCCTTGAAAATTATTGGAACAGACGGATAAAGTGTGTATTTGTTTTCACGCGTATAATCCTGGTTTTACTTTCTAACCCCCCCAGCTGATGAAGGAGCCTGTGCTGCAGGACAAACGAAGTGAACATGTCCGTTTTTGTCGCTATGCCGCTGAGCTGACGGAAAGAGTGTCCGGCAAGCCACTCCTCATGGGCACCGATGTCTCGCTCGCCCGTCTTCAGAAGGCCAGCGTGGTTGCCCAGTCCCGCATCACCTTCTCTGAGAAAGAGCTCCTCATGTTGATCAGGAACCACCTGGTGGCCAAAGGATTGCATGACACGGCGAATACCCTTGTTAAAGAGGCAAATTTACCCGTAGCATCCCACTGTCCCAACTCGGCCTCCTCCTGTGTCACCCCTCCCCCCTCTTCCTCATTACCTAGGACTTGTCGGTTAGCCGGCGGGATCACGGCGCGCATTGCCGGCCATGTTGGAACCTCCCCTGTGTCCTCAGGTGCTTTAGCCGCTTCTCGATCGCTGGTCATTCCTCAGTCAGCAGGCTCTCTGGCGTCTACCTCAGCCAACTCCACTCCTCCTTCCGGACTGGGATCACATTTCGCAGGCCGGATTCTGTTCTCACGGGAACGCCTGGTGGCAAACAGCAACTCGGGGAAGAAACCTTGTGCGCTAAAACAAAAATCTGACCACGGTGCTTTCATACAGGTTGGTGATTCATTTCAGGTAAAGTTTTGTCCTCTTGGCAGAAAAATAAATGTTTAAGAAGTCAGTTCACCCCAGAATGAACTGTTAAACCTTTAATATATTTTAGTTTGTAGATTTAATTATTAGGACATGAAGCGCTAAAGGCTACTATCTTTTATCTCCTCTTCTCTCTTGGTCAGACTCCAGCTATGAAAAAACAGCTGGAGCGCCACCTTCCCTCTCCACCGACCCTAGACGGCATCATCACAGAGTACCTGAGGGAGCAACATGCCCGCTGCCCCAATCCTGTCACTACCTGCCCCCCCTTCTCTCTTTTCACCCCCCACCGCTGCCCAGAGCCTAAACAGAGGCGACAGGCTTCGCCCAATTTCACCGCCCGCCTTGGAAGCCGGGTTTTGCACCCTAAATATGGAGGTGTGGACCGGGCGTGTCTGGATCGACATCTGATATTCAGCAGGTAAGAGCCAGGCTCCGCGTTGGTTATTTAAAGCTGTATCGTGACCATGAAGAATCAACTTTATTAGTCATTTCAACCAGCGTGACAAAATTTTACTCCACGGCCCAGACTAACCAAGAATAAACACGCGAACGTTTAGACAGAAAACAGGTACAGTCAGGCTATGAGACCCACCCAGCGAGCCAGCAAAGTACATCACAGTCCCAACCAGGACTGGGGAAGGGAGGCATCTCTTCACACTGGAGAGTGACCGCATTGATGGCAGGATACCACAGAAAAGCACCACGCCCTCTGCTGTCCTGGTGGAGAATTGCTTTACAACACTGACACACCAGTGGAGAAGTGTAAATGGAAAAAATCTCAGTTAATGCACGTGCGCCTGATCACAAAGTTCCAGAGGCTTAAGAGGGCGCCAGATTCAGAGAAAGTTGATAGTTTTGGAACAGGCCAGAGATGACTTTTTCTCCCTGCCTTCAGTCTTAGCTGGTCTCAAGGACATCTAAACAATGTAGTTTAATTCCCACCAAGCTCTGCAGCGACTTTCTCCAAGCAGGAATCCATTCTGTGTGTGTGCATGTGAGTTCATCAAGATTGCTGCTTAGGGTATCTAGCTAGCGATTCATCTCAGAGTCTGAGTTTGTGTTCAAATCACGTCAGATCAGAATCTGAAGGGTTTTATGTGCGAGAATCACAACATTAGGAAATTAACTTGCTCCAAACAGCAGGAATCCAGTGATCATAATTCCAAAAATCCATATGTCTTCTGTGTCTTCCACGGAAGGCAAGGAAAAGCACATTATATTCCACTTCTTTCAGGAATCTAATGTATCCATCCGGGTTTGCTCCTTCTGGATATGAGAAAACCTCCTCCGTTCTTAATGTGGGAAAAATGTTGTCATTTGCATTCATAGACCAGCTCTCCAGGTCCATGGTTTGTAAAATGAGAGGAGCACTCTTGGAGACAGGACAGGACAAAGGGCTTTTGGATGAAAAGGGAGGATAGGAGAAAAAAGGGTCTCTACTCTCCCAGAGCCAGAAGAGAATGTCTTGGTCACCTGTCTCTTTCTCCGCTTGTTTTATTTTTAGGTTTCGTCCCATGTCGGTGTTCCATGAGTCAGGTGGAGGCGAGAGCAGTTTTACCTGTTGTGCCTTTTCAGCTTGTGAGCGTTTCCTGATGCTGGCCACCTGCTCGGGTCACGTCAAGCTCCACAACGTCTTCTCTGGGGACGAGGAGGCCAGCTACACCTGCCACACGTCCGCCATCACACACCTGGAGCCCTCCAGGGTACGTTACAAATCCGCCCTATCGCACCTTTTTTTTTTTGGAAATGACTCGCATAACATTCTCAACATGAATTGTTTTGTGATTTTTCTTATTCTCTCGTTTCTTTTGAGTTTCACAGAATAAAACATCTGAAGATGCTGTTAAATACTTTAAACCTAAATTATAGTTGGAGCAGAAGAGAATTAGGAAGTCAACTAAAACACAGTTAACGAGGAAGCAGAGCGGCTTATTTTTAAGCTCTTTTCAGATTTATTTCCTCAGACTGAGGTGAATTGTCAGTCACAGCCGACGGATCCTATGAGCCTGAGATTAAGGTGGAACATTTGTTATTCCTCACTTTCTTTTTTTATGTTTTTGCCAGGATGGTAAGTTGTTTCTTACCTCTGCTTCCTGGAGCGTCCCCCTGTCAGCTCTCTGGAGTATGGATGGTGTCTTTAGCTTAAAGTAAAACCAGTTTTCATTTTACTCTTAATTTTCCACAACAGCAGCAATAAAATGCACTGTTGTTTAGATTATTCTGATGTTTTTGTTCCACAGGAACTCCTTTGTAGACGATCATTATGTTGAGTTTAGTAAACTCACTCAGGACAGAGTCATCGGCACCAAGGACCAAATCGCACACGTGCGTATTGTTCTAGCTTTGGTCGTGATAAAACTGATGTAGAAAACATATTGTGTTGTTTTGTATTCCATCACATCGTTCCTTGTCTTGTATTTGTTTAGATTTTTAAATGAACAGAAACAAAAAAGGTGATCAAAGACAAAATATCTTTGTTTACAAGGGCTGTAAAGAAGCTGATATTTTTATAAAAGTGAAGAATTAGAAGAGACTTTTTTTTTTTGTTCCCTTTCCTGTAGATCTACGACATCCAGACAGGTCAGAAGACGCTGACCCTGAACGACCCTGCTCTGGCCAACAATTACAAGAGGAACTGTGCCACCTTTAACCCCAGCGACGACCTGGTGCTGAATGACGGGGTTCTGTGGGACGTGCGGGTGGCACGGGCCATCCATAAGTTTGACAAGTTCAACATGAACATCAGTGGTGTTTTCCATCCTAATGGCCTGGAGGTCATCATTAACACAGAGATCGTATCCACTGGTTCTGCCTGCTTTAAGGAAACATGTTTTAGAATAGAAACGGACAAAACTCCAAATATTTCATGACATGTGAGGCTTAATTATGAAATATTTAGTGATTTTACAAGTCAGTGTACAGTGAGGAACATAAGGATTTGAACACCCTGTGGTTTTTGCAAGTTCAGACCCCAAATCATGGAGGGGCCTGAAATTCACATTGAGCAATCGTGGCCAAAAGTTTTAAAAATGACACAAATATTAGTTTTCACAAAGTTTGCTGCTAAACTGCTTTTAGATCTTTGTTTCAGGGGTTTCTGTGACATACTTAAATATGATTACAAGCACTTCATAATTTTCAAAGGCTTTTATCAACAGTTACATGACATTTGTGCAAAGAGTCCGTATTTGCAGTGTTGGCCCTTCTTTTTCAGGACCTCTGCAATTCGACTGGGCATGCTCTTGGTCAACTTCTGGGCCAAATCCTGACTGATAGCAACCCATTCTTTCATAATCACTTCTTGGAGTTTGTCAGAATTAGTGGGTTTTTGTTTGTCCACCCTCCTCTTGAGGATTGACCACAAGTTCTCAATGGGATTAAGATCTAGAGAGTTTCCAGGCCATGGACCCAAAATTTCAACGTTTTGTTCCCCGAGCCACTGAGTTATCACTTTTGCCTGATGGCGCGGTGCTCCGTGGTGCAGGAAAATGCATTGTTCTTCACCAAACTATTGTTGGAAGAAGTTGCTGTCGGAGGATGTTTTGGTACCATTCTTTATTCATGGCTGTGTTTATGGGCAAATTGTGAGTGAACCCACTCCCTTTGATGAGAAACAACCCCACACGTGAATGGTCTCAGGGTGCTTTACTGATGGCATGACACGGGACTGACGGCAGCGCTCACCTTTTCTTCTCTGGACAAGTCTTTTTCCAGATGCCCCAAACAATTGGAAAGGGGCTTTGTCAGAGAATATGCCTTTGCCCCAGTCCTCAGCAGTCCACTCGCCATACTTTTTGCAGAAGATCAGTCTGTCCCTGATGTTTTTCTTGGTGAGAAGTGGCTTCTTTGCTGCCCTTCTTGACACCAGGCCATCTTCCAAAAGTCTTTGTCTCACTGTGCGTGCAGATGTGCTCACACCTGCCTGCTGCCATTCCAGAGCAAGGAACTGGTGGCACTCCGATCTCTCAGCTAAATCCTTGTTAGGAGACTATCCTTGCTGGACTTTCTTGGATGCCCTAAAGCCTTCTTAACAAGAACTGATCCCCTATTAAAAAGACCAACAATCAGCTTTGGTATGCCAATGTGTGGACCGTATGCTAAAACCTAGCATCCAGCATGAGCAAACACACTGAAACCTAAGATAATTATGAGCCACCTTGTTAAAAAGCCAAATGGCACTGTGGTCCCATTCCTCGGATTTGAACTCAGTTTGTACTCAGCTGATCCCTGCATGTGTCTGTAGCTGTTAGCCTTGACAGCAGGTGTCAGTGGGATCTGAGAACTTTCCATCTCCTGCACACCGTTCCTGCTCTGGATCAGTGCCAGGTGGTCTTCAACAGAAACGGCACCATCATGTATGGAGGTATGAGAACGTGGGTTTCGTAGATCAGGGGTCTGCAGCTCTGGCGCCACAAGATTTATGTTTTTGAATATAGATATAAAACTGCAGGTTTAAACAGCTCTTCAGGTTTTTCACAAACTGCGTTAAATTCCCACAAGAGAAAGACTAAAAACATCAGTGATACATTTAGATCTTTTTTTTTTTTCATCATTTTCAGCAAAACCCAACATCCCATAGAAAACATCCATGCACGTTAGCAATTTTTCTCTTAATTTAAAGCTTAGTTGTTTGCAGACACTAGAAAAAAAGGTTTCTGAATCCTGATTACAATCAGACTCTTTAATTCTGACTTTTTCTCAGAATCTTGAGAAAAAAATATTTTTTGGTGCACATAATCCTCTGTAAAGCCCTTAGATGTTTTTCTTATTTTGAAAGATGGCTTTTAGAAGGCCCTGTAACCTTTGTGGCTCTAAACGCCAGTGATGCACCGATATGAAATTTTTGGGCCAATACAGATATCCAATATTAAAATCACTGTTGTGGCCGATAACCGATATTTGCAGATACCGATATATTGACATTAATGCTTCTAAAATCAGATTATGTATAGAATGAAAATGATTAAAGCTGAGTTTACATTATTATGTACACACAACACACACATTTACGGTTCTGAAATGATTTCATTCACTGTTCACATGACTAAACAAATACACGTCGCCCCCATCACCCTCTGAAACAGGCAAACAAATGGAGACGAAATGGAAAAAATATCGGTTGTTAAAATCAGCCCAGTTTTATTTATCGAACCGATATATTGTCCATCCCTACTAAACTCATTTTACTCTGGTTGACTGAGGGGGACAAACGTGTCTTTAGACCGTAAAGGCTGCAGATGGTTGGCTAATTTATTTAATCCCTCTGCATTCACGCTTCATGTCCTCGTCGGTCGTCTCTTTTCTGCTCAGCCATGCTGCAAGCTGACGATGAGGATGATGTGATGGACCAGCAGATGAAGAGTCCCTTTGGGTCGTCCTTCAGAACCTTTGATGCCACAGACTACAAGCCGATCGGTATGAATCAAAAACGTCACGCCATCTATCTGCTGTATTTAACACTTCCTGCCTTTTGTTTGTCGTTTAGATGTTATTTTAGATCTTTTAAATGCCATAAATGATTAATAAAACATTCAAATGATGCTTCTGTGTCCCAGAATGTTTTATTCCATTACCTCTGTTTGTAATCTGGTTTTGTGTTTGTGTTTTTATCTACAGCTACAGTGGATGTGAAGAGGAACATCTTTGATCTGTGCACGGATACCAAGGACTTCTACCTGGCTGTTATAGAGGTACCTCCTTCACATTTCCCTCGCTTTCATTTGAGTTTATTTTCCTCCTGGAAAATGGGAATTGCCTAAAAACACTTGCTGCCCAAACTACTCCCCTTGTTACCGTTTCTGTTCTGAGCTTGTGGGGTGGAGGGCATCTCCTGGGCTAGGATGAGGATCACCACCTCTTGGGCTGATGCCGTGGAAAAGGGGTGGATTTCCCACTCCGGCTTAGGGAGAGGTCCGATCTCAGGGGGAGGAGTTTAGGTTTCCTCTGGGTCTTGTTGAGGTTGACAGATAGACAGATGGATCGGGGCTACGTCAAACATTACAGGAACATAAGGCATTGGACTGATCCACTTCCTGATTCTCCACAGAGCCAGGATGCAGTGAGCTTGGACACAGTCTGCCGTCTTTATGAAGTGGGCCGACAGAAGCTGGTCGAGGAAGGAGATGATGATCAGGTGAGGTTTCTTTTTTAACAATGTTTGTTTACCATGTTTTGAACAAAGGTGAAAAGTTCAGTTTATTCCTCAGTTTATTATTGGAATTGTTCTTTTCTTCCAGGATGAAGAAGATCAGGATGATGATGACCATTCCTCAGACACGGACGATGATGATGATGATGACGATGATGATGTCATCGATATAGACCCTCTCATAGAGGAACTTGCAAATATTGAAGAGCGGGAACGGGAAAACGAAGAGCAGGATCCTCGGGAGCGACCCACCTCACCTTCAGGCCAAGAGGTTTGTGATTTTTCTGATAGAATCAGACAAATAATTAAACCATTTTTTGTTATTGAAGAAACAAACTTTCCTGTTGACAGCTGCAATTTTCACATGAATAAAATCTCATTTCAGCAAACTCCTCAGGTTAAAGAGGTTAGAAGTTACGTTTAGTTGATAAAAACCAAATTCACCACTGAGGTGCAATTAAACTCCAGTTTTAATCCCACCAACTGTTTTATCAACTTAAACACAAGAAAGTGATATTTTCAGCTGCTGCCATTAACTTCTGCTGTTTATTAAAACCTATTTGTGGTTAAGAAAGCTAAATATGGTGATAAATGATCATAAACTAGTGATATATGTATAAATATTATATTACCTGGTTTCTTAGTGGTTGTGTCCGAGTAAAGCTGCATAATTCATTAGGATAAAAGTGACCAATGACTGAAGGATATTCCTGTGAAAGGCCATCAACACTGACCGTGTAATGGCTTATGTCTTAAAAACAAAGCATTTATTGATTTTAAGAAGAGATTAACAACTACATACATGAAATAAAGTTCAGATTTTTTTAAAGGCATTTCCTTCTGTTCCCTTTTAGCTTTTGGGTCTTCTCGGAAGCAGCAGCAGCGATGATAACAGTAACAATAATGATGATGTTGAATCTGATGATTCAGACCCAGAGATATCCGATGCAAACCCAGATTGTAAGTAACACTTTTGATGTTTTTGACATACTTGATCTGAAAATGTGGTTGAATTCAACTCTGTCCTGATGTCCTTTGTTGTTTGTGCAATTTTATGAAACCTCTGTGTGTGCGTGTGTGTGTGTGCGTGTGTGTGTGTGTGTGTGTGCGCGTGCATGTGGCCATGTTTAGTTCTTGAAGTATCTGATGACGATGATGAAGACTCTGAGATGTCTCAGTCCATCCCTGACAGGTGGTTCTCATGACGCAAGAGAAGAGCCCTCCTCCTGTTAATGCAAGTCTTGTTTTATTACATCACAGATTAAATAATCCCAAAAACCAAAGATTTCTGATTAAAGATGACAATATAAGTCTCTTTCTGCTTCAGTTTTCTGTTAATTAGAGTAAGTTCTGAAAAGTGTATATGTTTTGTTTTATTTGTTTCATTTGAACCTTTTAAAGTTGAGATTTCTTCTCTGCTGCTGGAAAACTGGATTTACAATAAATGACATGAAGCAGTTTCTTAAGAATAACAATCATTTTGAAACCTTTGCTGTATTTTTGTTACTTAAAATTTCAGTTTTGATCAAATTAGCTTCAGACATTTCAACATCTTTCCTCTAATGTGTAAAAAGGTAGAATGGATTCCAGATGAGCTGGAGGTGATATGACCCCCAAGTGAAGCTGTAACCTGTCCTGGAACACAAACCTTACCTGGAAGCAGCCAAAAGTCAGTAGACCTGATTTGAGGTCAGATTATTTAAAAAAAAAAAAAACACACATCAAACTAAACTTCAGTTGTTTCCAACACTTTGAAACGCCCTGTTGACCTTTTGCTTTGGTCATATTGCTAATTTTTTTTACAGTTTCATTTGTCATGTAGTAAAATCTTTTTAAAATGTGTAGGTTGGGCTAACATGCTAGCTTTAGCATCCCAGCGTGAGACCTGGTTGGAAACCAGCATTTATACTTTTATTTATATTACAGTTGAGGCTGCAGTTGAGTTTCATGTTTATAATAAAAGTTTTCACCGTTAGGCTGTGTGTGTGTGTGTGTGTGTGTGTGTGTGTGCGTGTGTTTTCTGCACACCCAAACGTTAAACCAGCCACATTTTCTACCTGCTAAAGTTGTTTATAACATTTATTAAAGAAAACAAACTGGAGATGCAACCATTTCTTTTGTTTGTATTTGAGTGTTTTATTTTTTCTGTACATGCTCTTATTTATTTGGTTGTGTTTATGTTTGAAGCTGATTTTCTTTAGTTTAATTTTTTGTGCTCTTAGCCTGAATTAATCAGGTAACTGGAAGCTAAAAGCAAACTCTGTAAAATCAGAGGCTGAGCTGTTTCAGTAACTTAAAATATCCTCCTAAATTATAAAAATGTTTTTTAAACTAAAAGAAATGTAGAAAATTTAATTTAGAAAATTAAAAGAATGTTTATTCATAATTAAGATGTTGTTGGGGACGCTGTGTGTGTGTGTGTGTGTTTAGACCAGTTCTATGCACAAAGCCTGTTCATGAGCCATATAGCAGTTTGAAACAGCTGGATTTTGTCAAGTTGCAGAAGAATAAAATGATTTTTAGTAAATGCTTCACAATGTGATTATTGCTATTTCAAATTTGATCTTAAAGCTTCATTAGTGGCCTGAATATGTGTAGCAATTTGAGTTATTTTTAGCCAGGCACTACAGTTTTACTAAACTCATGTTGTATTTTTCTGTTTAGATTTTTCTACCAGAGCCTGTTTACCTCATGGAATAATTCGATTTTACATCACGAATCTACGCGATCCCATAAGGCCTGCAACACTAGATTATCTCTATGGGTAAAAAATAAAAAATAAAAAAAAAGCCGTTTTCTGGTGTTTAAACAGGAAATTCAACTTACAGTGCAGTTTCTTTTACCTGGTTTATTTATTGTGAATTTGCATCTGCAACTAAAAGCCATGCAGGAATCGTACTGCCACCATATTCTTCTGTTTTAGCTGCAACTAATGAAAACATTTCCTTAAGTCTGATTTCTGAATGAATGACTAAATAGTCCCTGTAAGTTGTGTGTGTGCGTGACTCTCTCTCTCTAGTTGTTTGTCTCCCTGTGATGAACTACTGACCTGTCATGTGACCACTTGTGCACCAGTTCTCTGAGACCCCACCCAATGAAAGAGATTAAGTTAAAGGTGCAGTATGTAAGAATATAGTGAGAAAATCCCAAGAGTCAAATGTTTCAGTCATTTTGGAAGGAAGGTTACACTGAAACGTATTTCATATCCAGCTGGCTGCAGGGAGTTGCCAGTTTTTGTCCTTTAGAAACAAAGAAAGGAGAAACTACTGTTTACCATCAGTGAGTGTGGGTGAGCGGGTGGGGGGAGACGAGCGGTAGAAAGCTCCATAGTTGTTCAAAGTGGTTGCAGTAACCACATTTGGGGGCAGCAGTAGCTCAGGAGGTTGAGCGGATTGTCCAGTAAGCGGAAGGTTGCAGGTTTGATCCCGGCTCCAGACAGAATGTTTCTGACACTTAATCCACATTGCCTGCTTGTGGTGGTCTGAGGGACCGGTGGCACCAGTGCTCTTGTAGAGAGGGTAATTATCTATGTATTTGGGTGCTTTTAAAGCTTAATATACTATACACTTTGACCAGTGTGATGTGAATTTCCATGGAAATATGGAAATCCAGACTGATTGGTCTTGAATGTTTAACCAGAAGATTTAAAATTCTTTGTTTATTCAGGGATTGTTGAACACTTCGTATTGATTCAAGAAGAGAGTCAGATTTATAAAAAGTAAGAATTTATTTTCCAATCAATTAAAACATGACAAGTTAACTAATATTTACTGTGATGGATGGATCTAGGTGGATGGAATGTGATGTATGGTGACTATATGTGAATGTGAGGTTATCAAGATGGAGGAACTCCAAGCCCTTTCAAGGACTCAGCCAGAGTTTTGGCAGTGCAGTGTTATGTGTTTCACTGAGACGTGGCTGCAGGACCATATCCCCGATTCCAGCGTCTCTCTGCCAGGATTCCTGACTGTACGAGCAGACAGAGATCTGAAGAGGAGCGGGAAAAGAAAAGGAGGTGGAGTGGCAGTGCTTGTCAACAACAGATGGTGCCATTCAGGTCATGTTTCAGTGAAATGTCGTCTGCAGCCCAGATGTTGAACTCTTGGCAGTAAGCTGTCGCCCATATTTGCCAAGAGAGTTCACCAGTGTTGTCTTGGCAACTGTTTATATTCCTCCACCTTCAGCCGTTGCTGAAAATGCATATGGTGCCATCAGTTCCGTTGTCGCTAAGCTACAAACCCAGCACCCCAATGCATTTGTGGTTATATCTGGTGATTTTAATCATGCCTCACCCTCTGCTACACTTCCAACATTTCAACAGTTTGTCAGCTGCTCCACCAGAGAAAACAAGACATTGGATTTGTGTTATGAAAATGTAAAGAATGCATACATGTCCAAAACAAGACCTCATCTGGGACAATCGGATTACAGTCTTGTTTTTCTCTGCTCAGAATACAAACCACTTGTTCAGAGGCAACCTGTGACAAGAAGAACTGTGAGAAAATGGTCACAGGACGCTGAAGAAGCCCTGCAGGGTTGTTTTGAGACCACTGATTGGATGACTCTCTGCCAAGGATATGAGGAGGACATCAATGCCATGACTGGATGTGCCACTCACTGACTATATAAACTTTTGTGTGGACAACATCATACCCACCAGAACAGTGAGATGCTTTGCTAATAACAAACCCTGGATCACCAGTGAACTGAAGAATCTGCTAAATGAGATAAAAAGGCCTTCAAGGATGGAGACAGGGAATTATTGAGGAGTATACAGAAGCATCTGAAGATAAAGATCAGAGACAACAAGGAGGCATACAGGAAGAAGCTGGAGAACAAACTACAGAGGAACAATATCAGAGATGTCTGGTCAGGGATGAAGAAGATCACAAGCTTCAAGCAGAGGAAGGATTGCACAGATGGCAGCCTGGACACAGCCAATGAACTGAACTAGTTCTTCAATAGGTTCAGTTCAGGAACAAACCCAGCATCCTCCTCGCCTGTCCCTAGTCAATCAGACACCTGATCCTCCTCTGATCCAACGTTTTCCTGTCACACGCCAGCTCTTTTGTCCTTTAACGCAGTCATGGACTCTTCTGGTTCTATAAATCTATCTTCAAGTCAGGAGATGCTGCTGCCCCATTTACCTCCCCCTCCCACCTATCTGTCTCTAGAAGTCAGGTGAAGAGGCTGCTGGAGAGACTGAACAGGAACAAGGCTGTAGGTCCAGATGTTATCAGCCCCAGGGTACTGAAGGCCTGTGCAGAGCAGCTCTGTGGGATTCTGCAGCACCTCTTCAACCTCAGCCTGGCCCAGGAGAAGGTTCCAGTCCTGTGGAAGACGTCCTGCCTTGTTCCAGTTGCAAAGAAAACTCGCCCATCAGTCAATGACGACTACAGACCGGTTGCCCTGACATCCCACATCATGAAGGTCCTGGGGAGACTCCTGTTGGTCCACCTGAATAAGCAAACTAGAACATATCAGGACCCGCTGCAGTTTGCTTATCACCATGGAGTTGGAGTTGAAGATGCCATCATCCAGCTGCTTCAACCAATCCACTGTCATCTGGACAGAGCAGGCAGCACTGTGAGGGTCATGTTCTTTGATTTCTCCAGTGCATTTAACACAATCCAACCTGATGTACTTTGCCAGAAACTCCAGAAGACACAGGTGGGGGCCTCAACTATCGCCTGGATTAAAGACTACCTGACAAACAGAGCACAGTTTGTGAGGCTGAAGAACTGCACATCAAACCAGGCGATCTGTAACATTGGAGCACCACAGGGGACTGTACTCTCACCATTCCTTTTCACCCTGTACACCTCAGACTTCCAGTACAAATCAGAGACCTGTCATCTACAGAAATACTCAGATGACTCTGCAGTTGTCGGGTGTATCAGAGATGGACAGGAAGCTGAGTACAGAGAGCTGGTGCAGCGCTTTGTGGCATGGTGTGGAAACAATGATCTGACCTTGAACGTGAACAAAACAAAGGAGATGATTTCAGACTTCAGAAGAAACAGGGTGGAGTCAAACACTGTTTCCATCATGGGAGAAGAAGTGGAGGTGGTTGAGGAATACAAATACCTTGGAGTTCACCTGGATGACAGACTGGACTGGAGAAAGAACAGCAAAGCATTTTACAAGAAGGGACACAGCAGACTGTACTACTTGAGGATGCTTAGGTCCTTCAATGTCTGTAGCAAGATGCTGCAGGTTTTCTACAAGTCAGTTGATGAGAGTGTAATCTCTTCTGCCATCGTCTATTGGGGTAGTAGCATCAGAAGCAGGGACCTGAAAAGGCTCAACAGCCTAATAAAAAAGTCTGGTTCTGTTCTGGGGACGACTGTGGAACCACTGGAGGAGATGATGCAAAGAAGGATTCTCCAGAGAATCAAGAAAATTATGGACAACCCTGAGCATTCTCTTCACAAGACTGTCCGACAACGGAAGAGTGTCTTCAGTCAAAGGCTTCTTCAGTTTCGCTGCAACACTGACCGCTACTGGAGATCCTTCCTGCCAACAGCCATTGTAATATACAATAACTCTTTGATGACTTGATTATTATTATTATTCTGAGCTACTACAGCTATCAATTTCCCTCTGGGATTAATAAAGTATTTTTGAATTGAATTGAATCAGAACTTTCGTATCTAGAAGAACTGAGTTCTGGGTTTAAAAATGAAAGAATTTAGTTTGCATTAAGCTATGAAGTTGATTCTTATCAAAGCCACATCAGACGCGATCATGCTGTGTCTACCTCACCCTTTGGAAGACCCTCTTCGCGGATCGGAAGGTCAGGGAGGTCGGATGACCTCTGGGCACCAAGGTTTGTAGAATAACCGCAGCAACAACTCTCCAGTCCAGAGATGTTTCCGGGTCACTACAGATGGAACTGTTTGCATCTAGAAGGACTCTTAGGGAATCAGAACAGTATCAGCTTTGTTCTGCAGGAACCGTTTGCTGTGTCAGCGGTAGGCAGCTTTTAGAAGGGTTTTGACAGCTTGCCAAAACTGCTCTGGATTAAAGAGGTTTTGCTCCGGACGGCCATTCAGTAGCGTTCTCTAGAACTGAGTCACCATCTCGTGAGCACTGTTTTAATATTCTCATATTATGAATTCTTGTCCAATCGGAACGTGCCATGTTAAGGGATTTTACAAAGAATCTCAGAACATCACGCCTTCTTTCAGATACAGATGCTCAGATTTTATATATATCTCTATATATATATATATATATATACACACACACACACACACACATTTTCATACATTTGCATAAAGTAGTCAAAAAGTGAAGTTAAAGTTTCACACATGATTTAATTCTGGGAGCAGAGTTATGTCTGTAGGCTGATTTGTTTCCAATCTGATTTTGTTTTTCCTCTTTAATTCTGTCCTTCTTCACTTTTTAAATTCAATCACTCTTTAATGAAGTGAATCACTCGTCTCCGCCATGTTTCTGTCTGTGGTGGCAGTTCATTCCTCGCAGAGAGAAACTCTGGCTGAAAGATGTTGCCAAGATTCCTGCATTTCTAATGGCGACTGAGGTGACGCCGTGGCAACCAGAGACTTTAGTTCATTAGTGTTTGAGTTGGTGAAGTCAAGGAGGCGGTGAAGAGCTCCAGGTGACAAGCATCTTAACTACAGAGTGTTTCTAATAGTTTAAACATAAACAGAAATCATCAGCAGTGTCTCATGCAGTTTGTCTTCGACCTAAACATCAATAAAACCATTCCCCTCTTTTCTCCAAATGTATCTTTATTCTCAGGGGCTGGGATCTGTCCTAAAGGAATGCAGAGGATTAGAACAGAAAATAAAAACGATAATCTCTCCATTGAATTTCATCCTTCCATTGAACACAAATAATCCCAAAAATGTGTGACATTTTGTCTCTGTGGACAAAAGTCGCATATCAGAGAGGATGCTGCTGGCTGTGGGTGGTCCAAACCGTGTGTGTGTGTGTGTGTGTGTCAGAGGGCTTTATAAAAGGTCCAAAGGGTCGAATCTGACCTCAGTTTAGAGTTTCGTCATCAGAGGAGCTGCGATCAACACGGATAAAGTAAGTATCTACATTTGTACATTAGAAATTATTATTGAAATTATTTGTGCTTTTTATGTGTTTTTTACTTAAGTTTCATTTCTGTTTCAGGGCTAATGTGGTCCTTAAATACAATCATTATTCAGCCATTTCTGTGACCCTCATATAACAAAAAGATGGATAAATATTAAATTATTTCGGATGTTTTTAAAGGTAAAAATAACTAGAAACTTTTCTAATTGTTTCCAAATTCTTATTTTATCTGTTATAAAATAGTCAAATCAGTTCATCTGATTCTGCTTATCAGTTCTTTTGACAAAACTGATTACAAAAAGCATAGTTTTCACCTGTTTTCAGGCATTCTGATCAGAAAAAGATCATTTCATTGATGTTCTTTTTATATACTTTATATCTGTGTTGTCTTTTCAGTTTTATCATTCAGAAAGAAGAGAAAGAACTTCCGAGTTTCTGATTTTGTTTGGTTTTTGAGTCACAGATGCAGATATCTCACAAGGCTGTGTGGTTGTTTGCTGTCATGCTTCTTTTCCTCTTTACAACCGGTCAGTGTCAACAGAATGAAAGGTAAGACAACCATGTTTTATTTTTTATGTTGTTCTGACAATCCTGCGTCAATGAGTTGCAAAATAAATAAATAAATAAATGAAATAAAAATACGATTAGAACCCTAAACTTTGATCTGGAACTCATTTAGTATTTTGTGGCAATCTGGAGAAAAAGTGTGTCCCAATCCTGTATCTTTCTAAAATAGCGACAGGTTTTTGTTTTGTGCATGAGAAACCCAATCTGTTGTTTTATTTTCTGCAAATATGATTTAAAAAGATGATTTCTTATTTTAAAGTCATATAATAGTTTTTCTTCACTTCACTACATTATTATGGGATGTCTTTTCCTTTACCTGAGTCCAACATTTTTGATTCATTGTTGTCACACATGAAGTGAAGAGCTGATGTTTATTTATTTATTTGCTGTGGTGACAAATTGACAGTGTGTTTTCATTTTTGAAGGTGTTCTGAACATCAAAGCTGTCGTCTGACTTTTCTTTTGTCTCCCTGCAGTCGCCGGGCTGTGACCGAACACCAGCTGATGCACGACCGCGGACGAAACATCCAAAGTCTGAAGAGACTTATTTGGCTTTCTAGTGCCATTGAATGTCTCCACACTGCTCAGGCGCGCTCTGCTGCTTTCAGCCCCACAGATTTCCTGAACTCGGCTCTGAATCCAGTGCTGATCCCAGTTGCAGGGAGCCCCCAGGCCGCACAGGTCCAGAACATCTTGAGAGACTTTTTTTATTCCCACTTGGCTCATCTGTCAGATGGAGAGTCTTAACCACGCTGACACAAAATAAGAAACATGGATAAAATAATAATTGTGAATAATAAAAAGCCTGCAGCACAACACCGAAATGATCTGTAGTGCAGAGACTGACATTCAGCAATAAACGTGTACAAATATCTAAAGAGTTTAAGCTTACGAGTTATTTCCTAAAGTTAGTTTGTTGTGTGACGTGTTTAGTTCTCTGAAAAATAGCAATCTGTCATTTTTTTGCCCATCTTCTTAATACATTTGGTTCCTTAAACCCATGAGCCAAGAGCGGCACACTGATCCCTGCTCACCTTATCTAGCAAAGTTCCACCTGCTAAAAACACGAACAGAACCTCAAACTTTAGGATTCAAAAGCCTGCATGAGGAGCATTTAGGCCAACATACAAATAACTCAGATTGTTCGCGTTTGCTTCCTAAGGCTTAGAAATGTTCTTTATCTGAATTTAAGGAATGTCAAACATGCATAAAAGTCATAAATCCATCATGCAATCTCTTTCGCAAATAATTCATTTACCTTGAATCATCTATTAGAGTTGAACAGAACACATAAATAATATACTTTTGGGACTTAATGTTACAATATTACGATTTAACAAAGGCTACATTTTCAGACTGAAAACAGTAATCTAGTTTTTGTTACTGTGCATATAAAAAGTTGATTTTTCTTCATTTTAACACATTTGTTACACATTTAATTAAACTTCCCAGGCTCAAAATAAGTTTTGATAAAAGGATGAACAACTAAGTCCTTCAGGGGTACTTCTGAGTTTAAAAATGCTCATGAAATACGTACGTGGAGTAACCAGGTAGGTTTTGACGTTGCAAATCTGCAACACCTGCCTCCAGAGGGTTAAATTTCCCGGTTAAAGCTGAATGACACGTTTGTCTCCTGAGATCCACCTCACATCTGTAACCTTTGAAACACATTTTGTGCTCAGCTGAACATCACGGAACTAAAATGAGTGATTTTGACCTTCTCCATTTACAGTATGAGCATAATATGTTTATGTTTATGTATTCAGCAGACGCTTTTGTCCAAAGCGACTTACAGGTGATAATGAAGCCAGCAGGTTGCCCTTGAGGCATACACTATTCAGTAAATCCTAGGTGGCAGCCAGTGAGATAGCATAATCAGTCATGAAGGCAGGTGAACAAGGGGTGCTGGGATGGTGCTAGTTCAGAAGATGCTCTCTGAAGAGCTGGGTCTTCAGGACTTTCTTGAGAATCGACATGGAAGCCCCTGTTCTGGTAGTGTTTGGTACGTCATTCCACATCTGTGGAACGGCACATGAGAAGAGTCTGGATTGTCTTGATTATGGTGCTGCTAGCCGACGATCCTTCGATGACCAGAGAGGCCGGGCCGTGACGTAAGCCTTTACAAGAGAATTTAGGTAGATGGGAGCCGCACCATCCAGGACTTTGTATGCTAGTGTTAGAGATTTGAATTTGATGTGTGCAGCAAGCAGTAGCCAATGGAGCCCAGTGAACAGAGGGGTGACATGTGCTCTTTTAGGCTGATTGAAGACCAGATGCGTCGCTGCATTGTGGACCATTTGAAGAGGTCTCACAGTACAGGCTGGAAGACCATTTAGAAGGGCATTGCAGTAATCAAGGCGGGAGATGACTGTAGATTGCACCAGGAGTTGGGTGGCATATTGTGTTAGGTACGATTTGATCTCTCGTATGTTATACAGCGCAAAGCAGCACGAACGAGCAACGGAGGCAACGTGATCTTTAAAGGTCAGCTGGTCATCAATCACAACACCCAAATTTTTTCGAACTGCCTTTGAAGGAGCCAGAGATAGGGAATCATTTTGGATTGTACGGATGGTTTCGCTGGGATGACAGTTAAAGAATGATGGCAGGCTCTAGATGAATTAAGATAATTAAAATATCATTAAGACTAAGCTGCAGAAGCAGCCCGGTGTACAATGCAAAAAATAAGTACAACAAATTTAAACACAACCTTTGTGGGCTTTATTGACATTTTTTGCATGATAAATGTTGAATTTAACAGAAATTTACCCATCTGTCTGCATGTCAAAAATGTGCATGATTACTATAATGCTGCAGTAGTACATTCTAGCCTATGTGCACAGCTGTATTTAGCCGTAAAAAAATGTAAGAAATAAAGAGGAATAGTGCCCTAGTTTGCAGCAGGTTAATATAGACAATAGTGAATATTGAACTGTCTGTTCCTATTAATTGTGCCAAAAATAATTCCATTCGAGCAAATAAAGAACTTCATCTCGTGAACATTTATATAAAAAAAGTAAGTGCTTTTACTGTGACACATTATTTTTTATTGTTGATACGTGTTTTGAACAAATCAGAAGGAAGATGTAGCCAGGTGCCTTGCAGTTCGAACTCGGGGTAATTTACCCCAATCGAGGTAACATCGCGAGACTTTCTTCGTGGCTAACGAGAACTAGCTAGCTCTGTTAACTCATACCGGTTGTGGACATTTCCTTGCAGCTGCGAGCGCTGTTTTGACGTTTCAGAGCGCTCACATTAAATCAAAAGCCCACCGCAGAGACGTGATCGCTGTCAGACTGAAGCACCCTAGCTGTCCTCGGGACTGTCCGTGGCTCTCGTTTTGTAATTGGCAGGTCAGTCGGTTTTGCCGTTCGTTAGCCGAGTTCGGTTTTGGTTGGTCAGGCTAGCTGAACTGATAGTCAACAACTCCGTTATTATGATATATCATGTTTTGTAAAACAATAGGTCCGTTTTAAGTGAGGAACTGTAATTAATTAAACTGGTAATTTAGACTTCGCTACTTGCAACTTCTACAGCCTGTCAGCAAAGCTAACAGCATGCTAATGAACAACATGTTTATTTGAGCAGGACGAATGTTTGTCAGCAGTTCCTGTGACTCTGATAGTTAGAAGAAACAGAAAAGTGCTTAGTCAGTGACCCGCCGTGGGTTTGTTCAGTTCGCTGAGCAGCTCCTGTCACTGGGACATGAAGTACAAACGCAGTTTGACACGTTGGCCTTTTCCTACCATAAGTTTAGTTGATGCTGATTTAACCGGTCAGTGTCAGAGAGGCATGTGACAGTAGGTTAATGAGTTCAAACGTCTATTGCTGACTCTCAAATAAAGGTTTGCTTTAGCGGAAGTAAAGTAAAATTTAAACGTAGAGGAAATTCCCCTCAGCTTTTAGTTACAATGTCATCACAAACATATAGTGGAGAAGTGTCTAATCTTCACTTCAGGTTATCATTTAATAAGTGGTTAGATGGGTTTCATGTACATATTGTTTTGTCATTAGGATGCATCATTATTGTGACCCAAAGCTTGTATTATGATGTATAAAAGTCTGGAGCTGCTTCTGGAGCCAGAGTTCCTCGGGATTTCCTGAGGACTGAACTCATATACACGTGATTGGCCTATGAGGAAATTTGTCTTATGCATTATTTTGAAACGTTCACATCAGCAACAGCGTAAGACAAAACGATTTTCTCAAAAATAACAATCCACCACATCCTTTTCTATACAGATTGCTTTTTAATTGTCCATTCTGATCTGCTCTTTAAAAGTCTTTAACTTGCCAAAAACATTAGCATTCAAAACACTTGAAGAGTAAAATACTAATATTTGCCTGAACATTAGTTTCTAGTCTTAAGTTTTATGTCAATTTTCATGACAGGACAGTGTCTCTTTCCCATCCCAAGGAACTATCCAACCTCACTGTGGATCTCTAGCCCCCCCTCACCTGGCAGGACAGTGGCAGAGGCAGAGCCATCAGGGATCCGAGCATCACACAGTAGGGCTCCATGAGCACCACGGGGCAGCAGCAGGGAGCGGGGCTGCGTTCTCGCCGAAGCCTTGGCCGGGACAAGGACCCCGGTCAAGGCATGGTCATGGAGGCGGCCTGCTGCATGGCCCCTGGAGTTCTGCGTAGGCTGATCGAGCTTCCCTCTCCTCCGCTGTCTCAACACCAACTCAAGAGACTAGAGGAGCATAGGTAATGGTTTTCTGCTGGATCGACTGCTTTTTGTAGTGGGATGCTGTTATTATTTTTTTTTCATTATATCTCCACCTACTTTAAAATGTAGAAAACCTGTAGAGCATTTATAACTGAATGGCTTTGATAGACTGGAAGAACAAGATCGTGAATACTAGCGGCCGAAATGAGTTTTCCCTGCAGGGTGTCTGGGCTGTCCTTTAGAGAGGGTGAGAAGCTCGATCATCCGTGAGGGGCTTGGAATAGAGCCGCTGCTCCGCCACATCGAGAAGAGCCAGTTGAGGTGGCTCGGGCATCTGGTTGCGATGCCTTCTGGACGCCTCCCTGGTGAGGTTTTCTGGGCACGTCCAAAAGGAAGGAGCCCAAAGGTAGACCCAGGATACGCTGTAGAGAATATGTTTCTCAGCTGGTCAGGGAACACCTTGGTATTCCCCTAAGGAGCTGGCCCAAGTGGCTGGGGAGAGGCAAGTCTGGGCCTCTCTGCTTAGGCTGCTGCCCCCACGACCCAACTCTGGAAAAGCGGAAGAGAATGGATGGATGGATGAACACGTATACTCCCCATTGGGCACTGGAGAGTGTAACGACGTTGCCATCATATTGGCTGGGTGACCTCACTCTCTCCAAAGTCAACACATAGTGAGCAACTATGCCCCTTTTTGTGCAGTCTACGGTTGCAGCAACCAGTGTACAATTGAAAATAGGTCACATGGATGGTATTACTATTGTCTTTTCTAGCCTACCAGATGGGATTTAATTTGAATTCATTTAAATTTATTTTGTTTAATTATATTTATAATTTATCATGCATACCATGTGAAAAAGCTCAATAAAATGTGTTTTTTAGTTGGGTAAGCACCTTTATCAGTAGAAATGAATGCACTGGGGGTGAATAGAAACCCATCCAAGATGGTGGCCGGCCACTATGGCAGCGCTGTGGTTTTAATGTTATAGTGAAGGCAGAAACAACGGCTGCCACCTAGCAGTTGGTGTTTGAAATGCACCACATAAAAGAAATACAGTAAATGTTTGAATGTTAATAAAAAATGTATACTCCTGCTTTTTAATATTGATTCTGTATCATAGCAATAAATTTAGCGTTATGTTAGTGTCAGCATTTTCTTACATCACTAATAATAAGTTCGGTTTAAATAAAAAATCTGCTTCTTTGTCATCTAGGTTTCTGGTTTTGTTTTTGCCATTTTAGTGGAAGAGGTGCATCTTCAGCTCTGGAAACAGCAGATGGATAAAATCTATAAAGGCCTTCAGTTATATAAAGGAAATAAATGATGGAATAACATGAAAGGATTTCAGAAGGATTGTTTGCGAGCATGAGTTTTAGATTTAGCAGTACATTGTATCATCTGTTGTATGTAGCTGAACTTATTAGATGCAACTTAAGAGTGATCTGAGATCACATGATACGGAAATGAGGCTAATTTCCAAACAAAACTTCATCTGGCTGTTATCGGTCCCTGCAGATACAGCAGTGCAGGACGCTCCCTGCTGGAGCCGCTGATGCAGAAGTACTGGGAGTGGTTGGTGGGACAGGTCCCTTCCTGGATCGCTCCCAACCTCATCACCATCATTGGCTTGGCCACCAATGTCTTCACCACCCTCGTGCTGGTTTATTACTGTCCCACTGCCTCTGAACAGGTCAGTTAGCAGAAAGAGTGCAAATTCCAGCAAATTATTAATGTTCTTCTGGTACTGATGAAAACCATTGATGCAACAAAAAAATGTTTATAGATTTGATAAGCACACAAACCATGAAGGCATGAACACTAAGCAGTAAGCTCCTTGTTTGATGTCCCCTTCAGCGTTTTCTGTAGTTTGTGTAGAGTAGTGCTATGAGTAAGGGTTTTTCTCTGACTAGAGCCAAAGTGGATGTGTATTCTTTAGATTTGCTACTTCTATGTAACATTTGAGTTTGGCGGACTTGAGCCTTAACATCCACTTTTAGTTAGAAACGTCAGAATGAGTTATGTCATCTGTTTACTCAGTTGTAATAGGAAAACCTTGTGTTGTTCTAGGCTCCTCTCTGGGCATACCTACTGTGTGCAGTGGGGCTTTTTATCTACCAGTCGCTGGACGCCATTGATGGGAAGCAGGCCAGACGCACCAATAGCAGCTCCCCCCTGGGTGAGCTGTTTGACCACGGCTGTGACTCCCTCTCCACAGGTAGGTCTGTTTCCTGTTTGACTTTCCTCCTCTTCTACTGTTCCTCTTTATGTACATGGACTGAGCAGAGGCAGTTTGGCACATTTCTGGTGTGTGCTGATAAATACTGCATTAATTGTAGAATCACCTGAGTGACAACTTTGTTTTTAGTCAGAGCAGCACGTTTCACAATGCTGACTCTCCCTTCCACGCATCGTTTCCTCATTTAGCTGCTAACAGAGACGATCACAGAGGAGTCATTGCTTGACCCACCTAATATTTTTGCTCCTCTGTCTTAAGCCCAGACCACACAGTAGGGGTTGTATCAACTAGTCGACTTCACTGCTCTGTAGTGACTTTTTATGCCTTTCATAGACTAGTCGCTGTCACGTGATAATGACCGACGAGATGCAGTCCTCGGAAAAGACAGCAGGTGACGAACCCCTGCGCATCGGGAGGCAACGCGCTGTGCCAGAGCGTCGGTATCTGACGCCCGCTGTAAAATGGACAATTGACCGAACTGTGACCTCTATCCTCTTGCAATTTAACCTTCCCCTCACCCCATCCTAACCTTAACCAGCTTGCGCATGCAAAGCTCTGATCGTTAACGCGCTCCAGACCTCTGCGTCCTGAGCACGGCCACAGTAACATTATCAAATCAGGTGTTGCCACCTCAAAAACAAATTTAACACGCGATCGTTCGTGTTTTCTGTCTGTTATTCTTTTATTTGTGCCTGATGCGTTTCGCTGCTGTGGAGCGGAGCACATCACCTGTTTTGTCCTCGGTGACGCATCTCACTGATGCGGCCGGCGAGCACTCCGCTGTTTTTGCGGTCGGTAGATCTTTTAGAACTGCAGTTCAAAGGTAACTCATAAGGTGAATATATATGAACCCAGGTAGCAGTTTCTCTTTAGGATTGAGAAGAGATGCAGGAAGATAATAAACAGGCAGGACAGAAAAATAGTCAAATAAAAACAAGTTAGTTTTTGTACCTGGTGGTTGCAACAAACAGACACCATTGAAGGTAATCAGAAGTGAGGAACAGAAAATGAAATAATTATTTTAATGTTTAGAGCAGCAGGAACTCTGAGAGGCTGCAGGCGCATCATTGAGTTTGTGGCTGCTGTGCAGGGGGAGGGGGGAGAGGGCTGAAGCAGAAACTACCGTTGTTAAAAGAGATGATTGTCAAAAACTCCAGCGATCCAACCCGCTTCAGGTGTATGACGTCATCAACGACTAGTCGAAGTCGACTCGATTTTCATTACTTGACGGTCGACTTATAAAATATTAAGTCATGCAGCCCCTAACACACAGTGTGCGTTGTTTGGCTCTCGTGCAAGACCGCTCATGTCACTCTGTCAGGACTCCAAAAAAGTGGCACACTGTACGGTCCAAGATTTCAGTGAGGCAGACTGCACAACGTCTCGCTCTAACAGGACATGTTACGTCACTAAAAGCCGACAGCTAGCCAAAACAATAATGCTGAAAAGTCGCTTCCACTGTTGCTTATGTTGCTAATTCCACTCTCGTCACTAGCTGTTCATGTTAATCCCTTGTTGTATTTTCATTGGTGGATTGTAGACGAGAGTGTTAGGTTTTCAACCAGTGCTTGGAGACTGTTGGAGGCTGACTTAGATCGTGAGAGAGACGGTTACACAGCGGACGATCACAGACTCGTATAACAGTTATGGAAAATAATCTTATGAACCGATGCATCCAGATGCGAGCATAAACACTTCTGTGTCATTAATGAAGCACTCCATAATTGGTTATAGTGGAATGCTTTTTTATTTTATTTTTTTACCGTGGCACTGGCATCACATTTATTATGTCAGAGTGGGACGTGTGTCTGTGTGTGTGTGTCTGTTCCCACATTTACTGAATAGGAAAAATTGGTCCACCTTTATGTGGTGTTTCAGGGCTGAGCGCTGAAGGTTGTTGCAATTAACAGGGATGTGTATTTTTGAAATTCTGGCGATACGATACAAATCACAATATAGGGGAGACGATACGATATATTGCGATACATTCGGTCAGACGTTACAAGCAAATTTTTTAATGAATTTATTGTAAGAATGTTCAATAAACAGTCCAAACTGATACGTAACATGTTTAACATGAGGTATCTGAACCATGATGGAGGGATTTACATTTCAATGGTGGAAACAAAACCTGTTGCACACTGCTGCCAACTAGCGGGTGGCGATTAAATTGCACAAAACGAAAAGAAAATACACAAAAGTTTGCATGTAAATTCTTTCAAGATTTAGATACAAGGCTTTTGAATATCGATGTAATAATCGCAGGAAAAAATATCACGATATATTGCCATATCGATATTTCCGATACACAGCTTTTGGATATCGATATAATATTGCTGGAAAAAATATCACGATATATTGCCATATCGATATTTTCTTACATCCCTAGCAATTAATACATATTAATTATGACCAATAAGATGTGATAGTCCATACAAATATGAAATATCAACCCGATTGATATTTGAATGTTTAATCAGAAGATTCTAGGGTTCTTTGCTTATTCAGGGACCATAAACACACTTCGCATTAATTCAGACAGAGTCAGTATATAGTTTATTAATGAATTTAATTATTTTTCCTAAACTAATGATACATGACAAGATATGAATAATGAGAGGTGGTGTGATGGAAGCTAGATGTTGTAGCAACTGTTCTTTGTATCAGAGAGAAAATGTGAAATCTGGGTGTAAAAGGATTTGTTGTTTGTTATAAACTAGAGAGTTGTTTGTTTATAAACCTCATCAGACACCAGTATGCAGGCTTACGATACCCTGGTACAAGTTGCTCCCGGCGGTCCGGAGGGTTGCGGTCAGAGTGGTGAGGTCACCGGACGTCGAAACCACAATACTCAGAGATTAGTAGCTTCCTCTGAGTTTGGCTTGCCCGGCCATGAGATGCAACCCGGGGTCTGCAGATTAGGTGTCCAAGGTGGACGTCTGAGTTGAAGTAGCTCTGATAAGCTGTTGTGTCTGTAATCACTTGCAGCGTCACAGAAAGGTTTTGACTTAAGGTCAAAGGAGTTTGCTTCTAAAAAGACTTCTTTCCCGATTTGGCTGAATCGGGGCTCAGCTGGAAACTGAATTACTTGGGATGTAATTCTTGTTTTATTAAACTACTTTGTTATGATTTCTGGCGTATTCTGGCAAATCAGAATGTGCCATGTCTGGGAGGCTTTAACAAAACATCCCTCAGAAAGCCACGCTTTCCTTCAGATACAAGATGTTTTTAACCTTAATATGTATCTTATTGTGATGTGTATGGGTGTAACAATGATGAACTTGTTAAATCAAACACATACTGATTTGTGATATAAATGGATCATTGTAAGAACAATATTCATTTCTAATTCATTGATTTAGGCACAAATTATTCAAACATTTGATTTAAACATCTTGTTCATTCATCACATATGATTATTTAACTTGTAAGTTGTAAAGCCTTGTAGGATTTGTGTGGATTAACTTTAATTCAGAGTGAGGAATCCAGCAGTCTGACTTTCCGCAGAGAGAGAAGGCTTTTGCGGGATACCGTGACAGTTTATTTATGTCTGTGCTGAAGAACAATGAGTGAGCAAAAGGTTGATCTGTGCGTCTGGATCCTCCAGCTAGTGTAACCTTGACTTTGCAGTCCTGGTGTGCATGAAAGGTTACTGTGTCAATTAGATGGTGAAAATGGTCCTTTTTGATTCATTACAGGTTCTAACCTGAGACCTAACCTGAACCCAGTAAGCTCGATGGGCATGGACATGAGGAGATGATAAGTTTAAAAGTTAGTGGAAAGGTTTGTAGTTATTGAACGAGAGCCATCATCTGGTAGACCAGTGATACTCAATTGGCGGGCCAAGTACGAGCCCTCTCTTTGTGGCCCCCAAACCCATTTCATTATTATTTCTTGATGTCGGGAGATCTGGTCTTGGAGAGGGAGCGGGGTCATTGACGACGGCTGCAGCGTAATAGCATAAATTACTAACTAAGCCAAACATTTAATTTCACCCTTGAACTGTGGCATAAATATGTGACTCTAAAGCTGCTCTGACATTAAAAGCTAATATATGGACCCATTATGGGATTTATAACATAAATTAAAAGCAAGAATTGGACGTGTCCTCTAGGTTTTCAGTAGTTTCTAAGATTCTGTTTTTCCCCATAGCCTGAGATGAGTTTTACTTCATTAAATCTATTTGAATGTTTTGGACGTTCACATTGTCCTAAGGACTGACATGAATGAAGAGCTTTTAGGGGGTGGCCTGTTGTGTCAGAAATGTTTTGATTTAAAAAAAGCACATTTCTTCTATTTATCAATGAAACAAACCCAAATGAAATTATTGTGATGCAGCGAGATATCGAATCGTTCACCCAGTAATCGTAATGGAATCGGGAGGCTAGTGAAGATTCCCTCACGTTCAACGTTTTTGTCGCGATTCTGTTCACAACGAGATTTGTCTAGGACAGCCGTAAAACGCAGTGTGGTCCGGGCTTAACAAGCTGAAGGACACAGATGTAATCAGTTCCACCTTGAATGGGTTATCAGAAAACCACCAGGCATAAGCCTCCTCTCTGTGTGTGTGCTTCTTTTTCCAGTGTTTGTGGTGTTGGGGACCAGTATAGCTGTGCAGCTGGGCACCAACCCAGACTGGATGTTCTTCTGCTGCTTTGCTGGGATGTTCATGTTCTATTGTGCCCACTGGCAAACGTACGTGTCAGGAACGCTGCGCTTTGGCATGTAAGTCAGCACAACTAAAGGGCAACTTCTTGTTTCTCTTGCCACTTCATTTGTCCAGGTTGTTCAATGCTGATTTCTCTACTTATTTAATCAAAGTTTAAAATGAGTAAAAGTTTCTACCTACAAAAAAAACCATTTCATTTATTTTTTTCTGATTATAGTCAGTCACTCTGAGTTTTTCATGCAGGCTGAACATGAAAATAGTCTCCTACACCTATCTCCTGCGTTAGCTTCTGATAGAAAACAGACGGTGAATTTCTAGGATTAGAAAATCCGGACAGATCTACGTCACACTGTCACTTAACATTCATGGACTCACCCATCTGGACTCACGACGGGGAAGCCTGTTGTTGGTTTAGCGTCCAGGGAAGAGTAGAACATGTTTATGCTAGTTAAAGCTAACAGTTAGCATTAGCAACTCCACCACACTGCAGAACTACTTCCTGAAACAGGTGCACCAGAGCTTTGTTTCCCCAGAGCACAACTTAAAAGGCATTCATTCCTACTGAAGACCGCTGCAGATATATTGGTTAAAAGAGTGAACCACACCTTTAAGGTTTTATGAAGAAAAAACAACTTTTTGAACACAGTGAAACATAATCAGACGTATTTAGTTTCCTCTGATTAAAGCTGAAAGTTCTAGATGTTTATGATGACCCTTGTGAGCTTCTTACTGGGCCTTTCCACTGAACGTGTATGGAAAAAGAAACGTAGTGCGCTGCAATTGGCCACCCTTATAGTTGATAGGTGTGTTTCCACCAGCAGTGTGTAGTTGTCCATCACTGTTAAATTTATATTTCAGGTATATTTTTATGTGCTATGTTTACAGAACGCGTCAGCAGTTCAGAATGGGCCGCACAGAAAGAGTGTAAAGCATCCGTCAATTAGAAAAATAAGTCACATGCCGATTTCCTGTTGATTCACTAGTAAAAATTAAAATGCCTACCTGTGGAATAAAAATATAATTCTACATTTTTCTGTTTACTTTGGCATTATTTGTGTTGCTGCTCCTTTTGCATTTGAGAATTTGAAGAAAAAGAAAAATCAGCAGGTTCTCTTTTGGCAGTAAGCCAACGGTTTATTAAAATCTGGATCATTCTGAGGGAAGTCCTTCCCTGATTAAAGTGCCCGCTGTTCCTGAACCGTTTTTGTCTAATGCTTGTAAACTTTGAAGTCATTGGTTAAAAATGGCTGAATGCCTTAGTGTTGATCTGTTTTATCAGACAGTAACGGCTGAGGAGGAGTAAATGTGAATGTGTTCTGTGTAGATTTGATATGACAGAGGTGCAGATCTGTCTAGCAGGGATGCAGCTGCTCACCGCTGCTGCTGGTCCCTCTCTGTGGAACGTGATGGTAAACCTCCTGGCTGCTGCCTGCATGGCTCGCTGCTGTCCGCCTCCACAATGGCTGCCCACCCGCATGGAGTCACACAGAAAATGTTGTTCCTAATCCGTTATTTGCACCTCTAAACACCTACAGATGAAGCATGTGTGGTACCAGCGGCTCCATGTGCAACAGTGTGTGGTGGAGGACGGCTGTGGGATGATGATGTGCTGGTAGATTTTTTACTAATCCTCACTAAAAATTGTCTGCTTTCTCCTCCCACTCAGCATTGATGTGACTGAGGTGCAAATCTTCATTATAATCATGTATTTGCTGGCCGCCGTGGGAGGATCTGCTTTTTGGCAGTCACTGGTAATTCTGAATGGTTCTGATTCCTACAGGTTGACATAAGAAGAATGATGTAACGATCTAAATTTAATGCCACTCTAACAGTTTGTTTGGATGGTTTAAGTCAAAATAATTGTATTAGGTATAAAAAAAGGAATTTCTCTGAAGGCTTTAATCATTCTCCAACATTACCCATGATGCTCTTGTTGTTAACATAAAGCTTAAAGAACCTTGATAGCATAAAACAGCAAAACTAAATAGACCAAGGCTTGTTTAAATGTGTTTGTGTTGTCTTGTAAGTTGACTTTGTGAATGTTTCACTTCCCAGATTCCGATCCTAAACATCCAGATGAAAATGATTCCCGCCATCTGCACTTTTTTAGGAGCCGTCTTCTCTTGCACTAATTACTTCAGAGTTATTTTCACTGGAGGCGTGGGCAAAAACGGATCCACAATAGCTGTAAGTCTCTGCGTTTCTTGTCAAATGAAAACAGTTTTTTATTCACTATATTAAAGGTATCCTATTATTCAAAACCACCCATGTAAATTATTAACGGTGTAGTAGCCGGTGAGGAACGGTTGGTTCTGAGAAAAGCTGGTTTAACACGTCAGCGACATAGACGCACCACTTTAAATCTGCATTGCCCACTCTAGCATTGGCTTTATAGCCCCGCCCACCTTTTTCAGGACCATGGGTCCCCAGAAGAACGAAAAAAAATGACTGAAAGTCAACGGGGCTAGAAGAGCCGACCAGATAGGGAGGAGACTTGGGCTCCCTATATACATGTTTGTGGTGGTGAGGCTAAATGTAGCACAGCACTAGCCTGAGCTATTGCTAACCCTAGCCTGATCTGCTTCTGACGTCCTTGTTGGATGAGAGGAAAGCTAAGGAAAATGTGGAAGCACACCTGTAACATTCCAGGATGTACTCGGACATTAAATTAATGCTAGATGGTTTCATCATGGGCCTACTGAGTAATCCGAATACTGCACATGGCTGTACACAGTTACTAGCTTCAGGCAGCATAATGGAGTCATCAGGGTAAACCAGCCAATCAGCACCCTAGTGGGCGGGGTTAGCCAGTCTTTCCATTGTAGGGCTTTAATACGGGGTTGTGTTTGGTCATTTATCATGTGCTATATGGAGGCTCTAACAACCGTTTCCTATTGTAACAAAAAAAAGTTCTGCGTGAAGCTGCTGCTTATGCAAGTAAGCTGTCAGATATGTTTACTCCACTGCGTCCAGACTGATCAGTCGGTAGTGGGCGTGTCAGGTCGGCTCTGCACAAAGCTGACTGCCAAAGAGCACGCAAAACGCACAGATTACCCAGGTGTGAACACAATTACCCTACCTGGGCTAGGCCAGGTCGACCCTGATATGAATTCACTATTATTCACCTGAATTATGTTCATTAAATGCAATGTGTGTTCCTCATAGCACGCTAGGACTCATCAGATAGAATTAAGTATCATTGTTAACATTCAGTATTCTTTCCACGTATTGTGTGTTTATTTTCACAGCTCTAGTAATGTTTAAGATGGGCCTAATTTACATTCATTTGGGGGTTTCGTCCTACAAACATTTCAACACACGCACACACACACACCACATGCACAATCTGAAAGTTGTAAGAGGAGCCTGAGTAGTTTAGGAGCCCTGAGGAGTTACCCTTGATGTGAAGGCACCTCCTAGAACCAGCAGGACGGCTCTGGAGCAGTTTTTACAGCTGCTGCGTTCTGTCACCCAGCGCGTGAATGAAAATCTTTATTTTAACTTAAACATGTGCAACGAAATTTGTATGAAGAATATAAATATATGAGGGGTGTGCACAAAGTTGATGTGACAGGGTAGAAGTCAAAGTGAAATCTGATGTTAAAGCTTGCCCAAAGAGCTGAAGACACTAATGAACTCTGCTCAGCGTTGAGGTGTTTTATTGCAGAGCAAAGCTGCCCTCCTGGTGGAGGGTAACTCTGAAGTGCCTTTTTTCCCTCCACCTGAACCAATCCTCATATAAACCCTCTGATCTCTATTAAGGTAGCACGACTCAGGGTTGTGAATGACAACAGTCACCAATTCTTGTCATGTGTCTTGCCCATGTATGTCTGATCTCTGAATTGTGTGTACTGAAACTCTAATTTCCCTCTGGGATTAATAAAGTATCTTTGAATTGAACTGAATTGAAGGATGTTTCTGCAGCCTCCGGTAAAGCTCAGAGAATCCCTTTAGAAGTGGTTCTAAATTCTGAAACCCTTCTGGCTAATGTACCGTTGGTGTAATGGTACACAGAGGTCCAATCAGAGTTCAGATTCTGATTGAAACCTTTTTTAATGCTGCCCAGCTGTGACTGGATCACCCAGCTAGCCCCACAGCTGAGCAGGTCCAGTGTTTCATGTCTGAGCACATCAGCATGTGTAGGAGGAACACTGTGATCATAAACTTATCTAATGATGTTTGACTTTTGTTAAATGTTTCCACTGAAATCCTTTGTCTTTGTCTCCAGGGAACCAGCGTCCTCTCTCCAGTCCTCCATATTGGTTCCGTTATAATTTTGGCAATGATGATATACAAAAAGTCTGCTGTCCAGCTCTTCGAGAAACATCCGTGTCTTTATATCCTGGCCTTCGGCTTCGTATCGGCAAAAATCACCAATAAATTAGTTGTAAGTTCTTCTTACTTTTATCCTGGGAAGTCGATATTCCGTTTACAGACGGGGGCTCTGCCACTTCACGTATCTGACATTTGGTGCTCACACCATGCATGTATCCTCTGACATTCCCAGCATGGCCTCCTTTGGTGATGCTTGTGGGCGGCGGTGGCACAGGAGTTAAGTGCCTGCCGCATAATCGGAAGGTTGCAGGTTCGAGCCCCTCTCAGTTTTTCTCTGTCGTTGTGTCTTTGGGCAAGACATTTAACCCGCCTTGCCAGCTGGTGGTGGTTGGAGGGACTGGTGGCGTCGGTGTACGGCAGCCTGGCCTCTTGTCAGTGCGCCCCAGGGCGGCTGTGGCTACAATGTAGCTCATCCCCACCAGCGTGTGAATGTGTGTGTGACTGATTGTGTTGTAAAGCACCTTGGGGGGTTCCAGGACTCTAAAAGGTGCTTTATCAAATACAGACCATTTACTTGTAGTACTTTGTGTCCAAACCAGCTGCTCTAAAAACAACCATAAACCAACGCTAAAAGATGAGAATCGACTGTTGTGTTTGCTGGACGCTCCTAATCAGTTCAGATGCAAACAGTTTTGAGTTCAACCTTCACCACGTTTAATGTTAGTGAAAACCACAAAGTACAAACATTTCAATAAAGGGGAAGTGGGACCATAGATGTTTTAAAAGCTGCTGGAAAGCTGTTTAACTCGTTCAGCTTCATTCGCCAGAAACCGTTCGCTTCTTAAACTTGAGTCAGTCGGTGTAACCTGTTAGTAGGCTCAAGGGCTCAGGCTGAGGATCACGAAGCTCACTGTGCTGCCACAACACTTAACACTTACTATATATTTATGGTGGGAAATGAATTGCTCACTAATCAAAAGTTAGATTAGGTCAAATCATAACTAATAGTGAAGAGAGACGCTGCTTTAAGATAAAATGTTTAACATCTTCTGTTTGATGCTGAGCGTGTTTTCTCTCACCACAGGTAGCACATATGACAAAGAGTGAGATGCATCTTCATGATTTAGCCTTCCTGGGACCAGGATTACTGTTCCTCGATCAATATTTCAATAGTTTTGTTGACGAGTACCTGGTGCTCTGGATAGCCCTGGTAAGTATTTGATGATTAATGCACTAAAAGCCGGTTCACATGTAGCTAGGCTAAAGCATTTCATTGTTGGTTGAGAATGATTTGTTTTAGGGATTTTATCAATTTATTTATCAATAAACCCATTTCCTGCAGTCGAAGAGAAAAGGGAGACAGACAATAAGCAGACAAAGCCATCAGACTGCAATCTGGGCAGAAGCTCATGGGCAAACTGCCCCGAGCTTCTGCTCACAGAGTCTATTTATAACTAAAGATAAGGAAAGAACAGAGGTGTGTGTGTGCGTGCGTGCGTGCGTGCGTGCGTGTGTGAGAGAATGCTTTCAGGACATTCAGTTAATAGAATTAATGATTAAGAAATGATCCATCCACCCATCCATCCATGGATGCTGGTGCCCATCTCCAGCGGTCTCAAGAAATAATAAAACATAACATTTCCATAACAGTTTGATAGTTAATAATTAAATGTGAAAAGATGCAGAATAAAGTCCGTTGAAAATGGAGCAAATACTTTCCTCTCTCTCTGTTTCTCCATCCCCTCACTCCACCTGTCTTCCTCACGTTTTTCCTCAGCTTACTGCAGTAATGTCTCATTCTGGTCCTCAAGGGCCACCGTACAGCATGTTTCAGAGCCTGGAATTCCTGCTCCTTTAAAGGTCCTGCATGTTTTAGTTGTTTCCCTTCTTCAGCTCACCTGATTTCTATCAGCGGGTGATTTACAGGCTTCTGCAGAGCTTGATCAATCAATCAAAGATACTTTATTGATCCCAGAGAGAGATGAGCTGCTGTACAGGTGAATCAGAGGTGTTTGAGCAGGGGCACAACTGAAACATGCTGGATGGTGTCCCTCCAAGACCGGGGTTGGACACCCCTGTTCTACACCTCCTGATTTCAGCCTGAAAGGAATCACTGTTTCTGTTTCTTCCTCAGATCATTTCCCTGTTTGACTTGGTGCGTTACTGTGTCAGTGTTTGCAACCAGATTGCCTGCCATCTTCGCATTTGTGTTTTCAAAATCAAGCCCTTCTCAGTGGCCAGACCATCTCCTCACTGAGGGGACACTGGCGTGGCGCGGCAAGGCCCGTTACCGACTCTGTCCCTTCCAGCTAGTCGCGCTCGTCTTCTCTTCCCTCCGTTTTCCACACGAAGAGGCGTGAGATGACCCGGGGTCAAGTTTTTGCTTCTGCCAGCTGAATGTGAGGACAAATAACATACGTGAGATACTGGAATATTACTGTCACACTTCTTTTTTCTTTTGCCAGTACAGAACTGAATTTGCACTAGTATCTTCTTCTGACAAATTCAAGATGGCGGAACTCTTTAGTATTACAGGAGAGAACAGGTGCTACTGGGTGTGTTCAAGGAGAGAAACGTCAATGTTTTAACCGTACAACTACAAGAAAGTATAAGAAAATAACCAGACGTTTGCTTTTCATGATTATAATCTTTGTTACTTTTGCATAACTTTACCTTTTGCTGTAAATACCAAACTCACAGTGACCCTGCTTCTCTTAAGTCCTGCTTTCAGCACATTTAGAAAATCTTCATCATGTGATTTCAAAGCAGCTTCATCTTCTGCACATCGGTTCTGGAGGAAACGTAATCACCACTTTGTTAGGTTTTCTCTAATATTAACATATCTGAACGTTTTTTTTTTGTACAAACTGCAAAATATTCACTGCCAGTCTTCTCAGTTACGTTAGCACTTTTGTTTTTTACCTTTCATGTGAGGAGAAGTCGTTTGGTTTTGCATCGTGGAGTGGGTAAACGTGAGCCTAAGCTTCATTTACGTTTATCGTTGACTCGTTTAAAAAGCAATTAAAATGATTTCTAATGAAAATATTTTAGGATAGATTCCACTTCCTGTTTATAGAGGCCTTTGATTTCAGCAAAAACTTCTCATGCAAAGATCTTTTCTCATTTTGCATTCATTAATACCAAAATGTATTAAAATGATTGATGTCAAAGGTCACTCCAGTTGCCACCCCCAAGCTCCATCCGACGTTTTTGACGATTTTAAATCCGTCACAAAACCCCACGACAAGACCGAAAACACTCACTTTTATGACTCAGTTGTGGTGAGAAAAATGTCGATGAACCTTTTATCCGTAAGTTTTCTGAAGCTGCTTGTCCCCTACCTTTGAAGAAGATTAAAACGTTTTTGAGTCTAAACCAACAAGACGATGTAGAAAAGTCACACGATGTGGTTAAAAGTCTCTTCATGAAATTTGTTGACAAGGAAACGAGGCTCCACACACACTACGTGTTGTTTCAGGTGTTAGGCTTCTTCATCTCAGCTGTGAAACATGATCAGTGTTATGACATATCACCCCCCCCACACACACACACACACACACCCTTCCCCCCCAAACACACACATGCACATGTGAATGAATGCACAGGAGACGAGGTCACATGATGACCTTGCTGTTTTTGACGTGGTGACTGAGGATCTGATCAAACTTAAACCTTATTTAGCATAAATCCTGTCGAGGTCACGTTTAACGTGACTGCGTTGGTTAAAGAGCAGATTAGTAGCAGATACATTTATTGCTTCTGTACACGGTGCCTGTTTATATTTACGTTACACATCCTGTTGCCTCTGTAGTTTCAGATCTGCCATGATGACTTAATGTTTAGAAGCGTTCGGCAGAAAGAGACCGTTGTCCTCCGAGTGTTAAAAGATCACTTCAACCAAATCACAATAAAGGTTTCCTCTTTAATCCGTTCAATGGGAAACATGTCTAGAATATTTTAGATCACAACGATTTTAAAAGGATTCAAATAAGTGTTTGGAGGAAAAATGTAAAAAATGTGATTTCCGAGGGGAGAATCTGTTGCAGACAATAAAAATGAACTAAATCGGTTTTGTTTGCTAATGAATCAAAGTAAGATTTAAGAACTGACTTTGAATTTAAAAAGCAAAACCAAGTTAAAAAGTATTTTACCATAACATGAAACAACCAGTTAAAAAGTGACCAAGGACTAAACTTTACTATTGATAAATGTGAAAAACGTAACACTATTTCTAAATTAGGCTGACCATCACGACAGTTTAAAAGAATTTTGATTGATTTAGAGGAAATGTGAAGAAAAGATCCAGGCCTTAATAATTTCAAACTAAATTTGGTTTCATTTAAAGTCTTGCCTGAAGACAAAAATCAGGACAATCTTTGACAAACAGGAAATGACTTCTGATAAAGACTGATTGTGGTTTGGGTGACCTGAGCCATCCGGGATTTACAAACTTCCTGTCTGGGAAAATCTCACCTGTAAAAAAACTTGGACTCAGTATGTTTTATTTAGTCTTTATTTTCAGTGTTACACGAACAGATCCCTGAGCTGCATGTGTTACACTGTACAGTTAATATGTGGAGAGTCCGTGGCTTGTGTTCTTACCGGTTCTGACGTCAGGTCCATTCTCATTCTGTCAAGTGAAAGTTTGCCTTAAACACATTTTAAGTAGTTTTGTACAGAAGTGACTCCTTTTCTCACTGAGAAGGTTGAGTGTTTCTGCTCTTGGAGGCTTGTATTACCATTTGTTTCTCTTGGCCAGACTGCCAAGCTCAGGTATTTCACTAGTGAGTTTAAAGGCATGTTCTTAGCTGACAGGAGTAAACCGCATCACCTGACAATCTCTGCTTCACCTAACAATGCAAATAAACTTCATTCTCCTACCTGGAAACTGACTTGTGTCTTAAATGTCAATCATATGGCTTCACTTCCTGTTAACACACAGATGGGTTACAGTAGACACAACTAAGAACATGCATTTATTTAATTAACTCATTAGTCCATATTTGCATCCACAATGCTAACTGAATATTAAGTTTTACTGGTACAGATTTGTAGTTTTGCACTAACAGGGTGATGTCCTCAAGAAGAGTCGATAACCATAATAAAATAGATAATTTCTGTATTTGTTTCAGAGAAATATCCAAATATGATGTCTGGCAATGGCAAATCTTAGCAGATCATTAGTCTGGTTGGGGTGTAAGAAGGGAAGTTCCTGGTCTGTTTGTGTTTTATTACACTGACCTGATTACTAACGTAGCTTTATTTGCCCATTTATTATTTTCTTCTGCTAAAACGGGTGTGTGAATACAAGCAGCGCTGCCTTTTCCTTATAAATTATAATAAATGTGTAACTAATATGTAAGTGTTGCTGTGCACCTGTAATAGTCGGACGGTTTGCCTGCGAGTCAGAATTCAGGACAGAACTCCCGTCTTTGGAAGCAAGTGCGCATGCGTACGTCAGTGAACAAGGAAGCGCACTGAGGTTATGAAATTTCTAAGGAGAGTAAATCGATGTTTGGTCTCGGAAACCATAGAAGGTTCGTGCAAACATTTTTATCTTTAAGTCACTTGTTCATGTAGTTGTGACACACAGAGAGAGATTATAATCCCTGGAAGACGCGATGAGCACGATCATCCTCCGGTTGTTAGCTGAAGTTGGAATAAAATCTTTAGTAGCAAGAGCGTTTAGTTAACTTTAGAAGCGTCATGCTTTCACCAGAGGCTTCCAGAATGTAATCAAGTTAATTCACTTAAATATTACATCGCATTTCCTTGTTAAAGGTCACGTTTTATTCACATAATCCGTTAAATGCTTGTTTTATGGTAGTTTTCTTGCAGTAAAAGTTCAGATGTTCTTGGATTTCTACGGTTTCCTTTCCGAGGAACAGGAAGTGAAACTTTAATGGTCTCAAAGTCAAACAGAAATCATTTTAAAACTCCTGGAGCGTTCAAGCATGTTAAAATGTCTATGCATCTTGTTTCCTCTAAAGATGTTGGTACCATCTTGAATAAATCCATGTTGTTGCTTTATAATTTCCAAATCTTTGATTTATAATTGCTGGATTATTTGTCTGTCACAGGTGCCAAAATGCCCATCCTTGAGTTCATGGTTTTATGTTTTCTTCTTGCTTGGTTGCACTTTATCATACTTGCGTTGCTTTACTGTTATAATAATAATAAACTGCTTGTGTTCTTTGAGTTTCTCATTAGGGATGGACAATATATCGGCATCAATATCGGTATCGGCCGATGTTGGTCATTTTTTAACATATCGGTATCTGTCCGATAAAAAAAAAGGGCTGATATCATCAACCAATATTTTTTCCATCTTGTCATTGTTTGTTTGCCTGTTTCAGAGGGTGAGGGGGCGATGTGTATCTGTTTAGTCATGTCACAGTGATTGTAAAGCGTAAATGTGTGTGGTGTGTGTACAAAATAACAAATTCTGCTTTAATAATTTTTATTCTATACAAAATCGGCTGATTTTAGAAGCATTAATGTCAGTATATAGATATCGGCCTTAACAGTGATCTTAATATCTGTATCGGCCCAGATATTTCATATCGGTGCATCACTATTTCCCATAATAAATAACAGTTGATGTTTAAGACTGGGTGACAAACCTTAAGAGCACTTGTTTGTTTATTTACTTCGAGCCTTATGTACACAAGCTGCATGCTAAATGAGTTTTGTTAGAAGGGTTAAGCCTGTGCTTCAGCCTTTAGTTTGGCCTTGTCCCATGCTATTTTATATGTGGTCTTTATTCTGTATGGAGATATTTGAATGCTAATCAAATAAATACTACTAATAATACTTATTTATTTAACCAGGTGAGTTGGTTGACAACCTGTTTTCATTTACGACGGCAGCCTGTCCAAGAGGCAGAAAGCATGAAGGCAAGCATGTTGCAAAAGGATAAAACGCTTGAACAATTTCAAACATAAACACCGCTGTCACACTGTCTGAAGCACACTGATCAGAAAGGCACTGAAGGCTGATAATGTGATGAGAGGCGAGTTTACATGGTGAGGGCTTTGGCAATAATCCTGGAGAGTAAATTACGAAGGAGTTTTGGGCTTGGTTGTTTTTTATATCACCTGATGCCATCCTGTAAGAGGAGTGAGGGCCAGTGTACGGATCCCAGTGATGTTCTGAAAGGAGCACTAATGATGAATGACATTAAGTTAATGGAGACATTTTTGAGATGTTCTAGAACAGCTTCCCAGTTTTAAGACGACCACTGAAGAATGTCTGATGATCTTTTGCAGAGGCTAAGTAGTGACACCTGACTGATACTCAAAGATAATCAGGTGAGTTTCAGTCAAAGCGGATGTGTTTCATCTAAAGATAATAATTATCACAGTTTTGGAAGAGGATTAGAGCCACTCATGGACGTAATTTTGGGGGGGGGACATGTCCCCCCCACTTTTTCCAAAGTCAAGTTTTGACCCCTGCACTTTTTACCATCCAAAAATAATACGCTATATTTAATTGACACTGGTTGAGCTGTAGGACCAAGCAGAAAACAACCGTTTGTGTTGAAGCCTGTTTCCCATTAGAACATACTGTAAAGATACCCCCCCCCCCATGTCCCCCCCACTTCTAAAGTGAAAATTACGTCCATGGAGCCACTGAATTTAAAAAAAACTGATTTTAATCTCAGATTTGTGAGATTAAAATCAGAATTCCTTTCCTTTTAAGTGGCCTAACCGTCCTCCATAAATAATAATGATAACCACTTAAACATTATCTGTGACTTTTCTAAACTAAATAAAGACATAGACACGACTTTTAATTTGAAGTCGACATCAGTGTATAAAATGAATCACTTCTCAATTGATACTGATGATGATGATGATAATACTGATGATGATGGGGATGATAGTGATGAAGATGATGGTGGTGATTATGGTAATGATGATGTTTCATACAGGACACTTAGTGAGAGGTGAGGGCACCATGTGGTGGTTCCAGCAGGGTCTCTGTCTCCTGCCTGCCGCTCTGGTCGTCTGGACGGTGGCGTCCTTCGTTTTCGCTTACATCACAGCGGTGGTTCTGGACCATGTGGACCCTCTGGTACCCTACATCAGGTCAGAGTCTAGAAGATCACTGAGGCCCTCATCACTACATCATTACTCCAGATTATCTATAAATGTTCTCTTAAGAAGATCTAATTGTTGTAGCATCAGAAACATTTATGTTACTGAACAAACAAGTTATGCTGTAAAATGAAAACAACCCTCTTCCAAAAGACAAATGTCTTATGAGCTTCCTTCAGACGTGATCAAACATGGATGTAACAAACTAACTTTATATTTCAGTGCAGACCACATCTGTGATGTCAAGATAAGGGTCAATGTTTCAATAGGGTTCACTTATTTCTGACTTTTTCTGAGTCTCATAAAAGGTTTTAGTGGGCAGGAAAAAAAAGCTGTATTTGTTGTTTATTTCCTTTTAGATCAATCAAATTTAGCAGCTTGTGTTCTTCAACGTGTGTGTTGTAGTGACACAGGAACTATGGCTCCAGAGAGATGTGTGTTTGGGATCATGCTGGATGTGTCGGCCTTTTTAGGTAACAACACACACACACACCATTACAAGTCAGTTATTCTACAAAGTTAAGGTGATTATCTAAATATCACACATATTTTGAAAATAGATGATTTTGTTGTAAAGGATTTTAAAATGTGATTTCTGTGTAACTTCTGTATGTATGGCAGTAATATTGATATTTAATGATGCACATAAGTTATTTGTTTTGCAACAGCTGTGATTTTTTTAAATTAAAGATGAAAAGTTAATCAAAAATCATTATTTTTAAATTTGAGAATTTTTAAATAAGTCCATGGCCCTCACTTATCAAATGAAAGGAAGAAAGAAAACAATCTTTTATATAGCAACTTCATATAAAAATCACGAGGTGCTTCACACAGACGCATTAAAGTATAAAAAAAATAAAAAATAATTTATTAAAATATGTTTAAAATGAGAAAAAAAATACCAAAATTTGATGAGAGAGGAGAGAGAGAGAGAGAGAGAGAGAGAGTAGAGAGAGAGGGGAGAGGAGAGAGAGAGAGAGAGGTGAGAGAGAGAGAGAGAGAGGAGAGAGAGAGAGAGAGAGAGAGAGAGAGAGAGAGAGAGAGAGAGAAGGAGGAGAGAGAGAGAGAGAGAGAGAGAGAGAGAGAGAGAGAGAGAGGAGAGAGAGAGAGAGAGAGAGAGGAGAGAGAGAGAGAGAGGAGAGAGAGAGAGAGGAGAGAGAGAGAGAGAGAGAGAGAGAGGGAGAGGGAGAGGGAGAGGGAGAGGGAGAGGGAGAGGGAAGGGAGAGGGAGGAGGGAGAGAAGCTTAGACATCTCATGGGGCTTAAAGGGGATGTACGGTTGGATGTCATCTGCACAAAGATGGTAGGAGATTCCTTTGAAGGAGCTCAGGATGTGCTGAAGAAGCAGATAGAGGAGGAAGAGCAGAGGCCCCAGCACAGAACCTTGTGGGACACCACCTTGTTGAGGAAGGTGGTGGAGGACCTAAACTTGGAGACGGCCACAGAGAAGGAGCGCTCAGACAGATAAGAGGAGAACCACTCCAGAGCAGATCCTGATAGGCCAACCCATACCAACCATACTTACGGACAGATCAGTGCGTAGGACCGACTTTACGCATTGTGTGGTATTTACCAATTTGTACTTGTGCGTAGAAATGTTCCTAAACATAAGAACAGCTCTGATCATGCTTACAAACAGCATCTAGTGGTAGAACGGGGGAACTGCAGTACTGAAGGTCTCAGTCATCCACATGTTCCATGTCCACAAAGTATTTTGCACATTAAATAATTTTTTCAGTGGAACAAACAGCTTTTTTGCATAATTGATTCTAAAACCACCCCCCAGAACCTCTTCTGCTCCCCGATCACACACCCGTTGTCAAGGTAACCAGTCTGAATGACCGCTCAGAAGAGGCTGCACTCAGACGTTTTCAAATGAACTCCAAACAAAATTACTCCTTAAATGTAAATGAAACCTGTTACTCTATGATTTATCATATTAATTTATTTCTGATGGGAACCTCTCCTCTGTCCCGACCGCGTTTAGAAGCCAGTGTCTCCATCTCTCTGTCAATTAAGTTTCATTTTTGGGGGGAAATACCCAGGGAATCCCCTCAGGTGCTGAAGACATAGCATGGCCAAATATGGTTAATTGAGGGTGTTTCCGTATGTAAATGAACGAGAAAGGACACGAGCACCTGGGTATGCACAGGTGGGATTTATCATCAGGCGAGTGCGGAGGAACATGCGTACGCAAGGCCACCGCACATTTCATAAATCGGGTTTTTGACCGTTCATACACACATTCTGAATTTCATCTGTAGGAAGGAATTTAGTACAGTTTCTACAAACGTTTAATGAACGAGGGCCCAGGTCTGTGTGTGCACAGAGGATAAAAACAGGATGTGTCGTTGCCGTTTGCAGGCATAGCCACGGTGTACGTGCGTTACAAGCAGGTGGAGGCTCTCACTGGTGAGGATGAAGCCTGTGTTCAGAAACTCAACCTCGCGGGTCTGGTGTTGGGCTGGACCAGCTCCTTCGGGATGTGTGTGGTGGCCAACTTCCAGGTAAGTACAGCTGTTCTGGGGTCAGCTCACACACATCTGACCATGTTTCAGTCTTGTGTGTGTGTGTGTGTTTCTGTCTGAGCAGAAGACCACTCTGTTCTCGATGCACCTGGTGGGTGCCGTGCTGACCTTCGGGGTTGGGGCTCTCTACATCGTGATTCAGACGGTGATGTCACTCTACATGCACCCCCACGTCCACAGCAGGACCGTGTTTGCGGTTCGCCTGTGCATCGGACTCTGGACCCTGAGCAGCATCATCAGCAGTATCCTGACAGTCCAGAGTCTTTACTCATTTATACGCCTCATTGTGTGTTTCAGCTTTAATCCTTAACGGTTCTTCAGTGTTCGTTTCATCCGTCATCATGTACAGCATTCTCCGAGGCATCGACGTACCGCATAAACTCCACTGGACCCCAGGAGAGCCGGTCAGTAGTTATCTAGATGCTAAAACACACTCAGGGTTAGAAATGGAAGGATTTTGGAGTCGTACGATCTCTAATCAATAGATATTTAACAAACACGAACACCTGTTTTCTGCTCCCTTCAGGGTTACACAGCCCACATGTTCAGCACGGTGTCTGAATGGTCTCTGGCCTTCTCCTTCATTAGCTTCTTCCTCACTTACATCAGAGACTTTCAGGTATTTTGCCTGATTTTTGTCTCCATGAAGCCGAAATCAAAGCTCCCATTTTATTTGATGCTACATTTTGCTAATTTTATCAACTGATCTTCTTTTGTGTGAAGAAAATAAAAATGCGAGCAGAAATCGTCTTGCTGAGCAGCCACCTGTACAACTCGCCACGTGAAGACTTCCAAGCCTCTCAGCGTAACGTGCCCTCAGAGACCTCTCCGCTGCTGTCAGGAACCACATGACACCTTCACGCCTGCTTCTACGTCCATATTTGCGCTTTTCTTTTGACATTTACCGCTCTTTGTTTGGGGACTCTGGTGACTTTTTAAAAGCTCGGGGAGCCCAAGTGTGTTCTCCGTTCAGCTGTGCCGTGTGTATTCAGGTTCAGGGGTGGCAGCTGCAGGTGAGTTCACCTGAATCAGACGTTTTTCTTAAAGGGGATCTCCAAACATAAAGGTGGAGAGATGTTTTAGTAACTTTTACAATTTTCACTTAAATACTGACAACTTACCTGCACTGTGTGCCTTTTATTAAAGGTGATAACTGGGATTTATCCAAGTTTACTGGGCACCAATCATTAAGAGCACTCATTTATCTGTTTTAAAGCATTCGCACTTAAATTTCATGTTTGCTAAACAGTTTTTCTAAGACACACTTTCATTTACAGGGATTACATTCATTACTCTGATGGATCATAATCAGAAATGATCCACATCAGGCTCCAAACTGTAACCACCCATAAAAGAAAACTATACAAACAACTTTTAACTGTATTTATGATTATTTTACTCTTTAAAATGTGAATATTTGAAATAGGTGCTGTTAAAACTGTTTTACAAGGTGAAACGTTTGCTCTTTGTACTTTTCTGTTTTCTACTGAACTCAAGATCAGTCGAATAAAAACAAACGTGCTGTTTGTGCCACGATGATTCTAAGTTTTATTTGATGAACCCAAACATTTGTGAATATATAGAAACAACAGGTACGGAAGAGGATTGGGGCCACTGATATGAAATAAAAGAGAGAATTCTGACTTCAATAATTTTGAGATTAAAGTCAGAAGTCTCACGTTAATTCTTCTCAGTGAACCAAATCATCTTCCGTGTAACAGAAAAGATTCCCTGGTGACCAGGTCTCCATTCTCCTAAAGTGTGAGGTGAAATGTTGATTTGTTTTCTTCCTAATGGCTAAAATAACCCAGGATTCATTTATAAAATATTTCTGTATTAAGATAAAATGACAGAAATCAGAAAAGCAGTGAATAGATCAAACTGAAGACGGTTCCTGCTGTAGTTTCTGACACATAAATGATCAATTGCATGCTGGTTAAATTATCTATGCAGGAAAACACTCCATCCGTCAGCTCAAATCCCATTTAACAAAAATGCCACACAAAAAGAAGCCAGACTTGATTTAATTGTTCCTCAAAAGTATCAACTCTATGCAAATATATTATTTTATTCTGCTTTAGCTATAATGTCGGGTTTAAAGGCCTTTAAAATACATAAAACTTCTATTTAACTTTGGCAAACGTCATTCCGCCTAATTCTAAACAACGCACAAAATATGTTCTCCACTGAGACCTTCTCCTAAAACTTGGATAAAATATATTACAACAGATTTCTGTTCAAATCAAGGATTTGACTTATTTACAGAAGAATAGAGAGAGAGTTTGAGTCACATGGTGAAAGACTCAGGGCTACGGAGGCCCTGAGGGGACAAGAGTTTAAAAAGTTGGTTTCATGTGTGAACCAGATCTCAACAAGGTCCAGACTCAGATTTCTATAGGGAGTCGCTGCAGAAAAATATGAAGAGCTTTTCTGCCAAAACAGATCACCATTTTTGATCAGAATCACCAAACTTTGTTTCGACTGAAATCAGAAGAAAATGTTCCACGAGTTTCTGTCTGATGCACACAATAGAAGGGGTGTTCGATTCTGGGCCTGGAGGGCCAGTATCCAGCCCGTTGATGGCTTCTCTGCTCCAACACACTTGATTCTGTGGTTGACTCAATTGTTCAGCAGCTCATTAGGCTTGCAGAAGCCGGATTGAAATCAGGTGTGTTGAAGCAGGGTTAAAACTATGGCCTAGTCCACACGTAGCCGGGTTTCCCACCCCTCCAAAAACTTGCATCCACACCACCTCGTTTAAAAATAAAACTGTCCACACGTACCCGGATAAATACATTGTTAAGGACATGCCAGACCTGTAGGCGGCAGTACTTCCCCCGTTCTTAACTTCGCCCTTCGTCTGTGGTCTTCCGCAAGGAGCAGTAATTCCGCTTGCAAAAACAAACAAGCAAAAAGCGCTTGGACAATTGATGAAGCGAGCGCAGCTCTGAGGGCATCCATGCTGTCGGCTAGTGTAAACACAGGTCGCACACGTGATGTCAGCATTTTTTTTGTCGCGGAAAGTGACGTTGCTGACCTTAAAACTCCGGTTTTGTCTGTCCACATGCAGACACCCAAAACGGAGAAAACGCAGATCTTCACTTTGGCCGGAGTTTTTAAAAAGATCCGTTTTCGTGTGAAAAAACTCCGTTTTCATGTGGATGACAGGCCAAAACGTAGAAAAATATCTACGTTTTGGCAGATCCCCGGCTACGTGTGGACAGGGCCTAAAACACGCTGGACCAGAACCACTGGTCTATGGCCTTCTCTTACATAAAATCCATTAAAGATTTGATTTAATTAAAGATCAACGTCTAATTTAAATATGCACAAGTAAAACGTGCAGCAAGTGCTTTGGGTTCTGCACCAAAAATGTGTTCTGACCCTTTAATATCAGAGCGTGTGTGTGTGTCTGCAGCAGCAGCTGGTACCAGCAGAAGATAAAATATGGCGTCCTGCTGAAAGCCCCCTGCCCCATCCCGCATCACCTCTTCAACACCCTAAAGGATAATCATCACTGTGATTTCTCTGCCTGCTGTTCCGTCCCTCGTTCTTGGAGATATTTTTGGGACTTTGGCGCTAAAATCCATTTTAGTTTAATCGGGAGATGATTTGAGCAGTGAACTTGCTTTGTTGTAAGCAGTGGCAGTGATTCTGCATTCTGAGACCGATTCAGCTTCCTCTGTTCATTCTTCCTTAAGTGCTTAAAGCTGTGGCACAAACATGGATGATTTTCAACAACTTAGCAAAAAGACAAAGTGAGTCTTTAATCCTCGACCATTGGGGTAACCTGCAGGAGGTCCGGTGTTCCAGAGTGAGGTCTTATGTGCAGTGGGATTCAGTTCTCAGGGGTTGCGTCTCAGCGCTAGGTCCATAAGAGGCCGGTGGTGTCAAAAGGCAACACGCTCATACCCACGTGTCAGTCCTGAGCTCCTCCCTGCCTGAAGGCTAAAAGGCCGATCCATCACAGATGATATTCTGACCGCGTCCAGGGAAGAGCTCCATCTGCCAGTACCGAGGGTCCGCGTACACTGCACAGGTCCCGGAGATGGCCGCATCGGTGGTGAGTCAGTTAAATTCAACAAGAAACAGAAAATGTTAATAAATCATTAAACAGTATGGGAATTCTTCATATAAAGAATGTGAAGGCTACCCATGTCTCCAGGTGAGAGCCACAGGTTAAAGGAGCTGCAGTGTTTCTGGCACCGCTGAACCGGCAGAACTCGGACCGTCGGGAGTCCCTCTCCCACCACCAACCACCCCAGAACCCCGACGCCCTGAAACAAACAGCAGGTCACCACCAAAGACCTGGACCTTAGGAACAGAATTTGGCAAAGGCGAGAACTTCCTTGGACATCCTACGATTCCAAAGGACAACAGCCGGGCTCACCTTGCTCTGGGAGTTGGTGCTGTGGGTGACCAGGCAGCGCTGCAGGATGGTCCCAGCACTGTCCAGCAGGGGGCAGACTTCTGCCTTTGGGAAAAGCCACCTCAATACCTTCTCCCTGGTCCCAGAGCTGAACCTCCTGACGGAAAACAAACATTAAAGCCGCCATGAAACTGCCTCTAAAGTGATTTTAAACAAGACCAACAGGTTTTCCTGTGTTCACATCAGGAAAGAGCCTGGAGAGACTTTCCTCGTTTCCTCAAGCTTTGCTTGTGTTCTCCAACTGATTAGATATTTGGGGCTTTAAAGGGTTCTTTGCTCTTGTTAATGAAATAATTGTCTGAAGTCCTAAGAAGAAGTGAAACATCAACATCATTAAACCCAGATTCATACCAGAGCAGGGTGAAGTTAGCAGGACCCTGAGGAAGACCTTGGTTCTGGTTTTGCTGACCGTCATCTTCCTCCAGCAGGATGGACATGGAGTCTGGATAGGCCAAGTAGAGCTCCTCCAGCTGCTGCCGCTGGATGCTGAGAGACTCTCCACCCTGCAGGGAGATACGTTTCACAAGTCTGAGCCAACAGCTCACTCGTAGAAACCTATTTTACATTCATTCATCTCCAGGAGACTCCAAATTATATTTGGACAAAAATAACTCCAAGAAGACACGGAGACAAATGCTTTTAAAAACATCAAGCAAACTTCAGGTGGCCTCTCATCCAGCTCTGACCTTCAGCAGGATGAGCTGTGGCCCCCGTCGCAGAGTCACGGTCCCCCTGAGGCTCTCTGGGACTTCCAGCACCGAGGAGATCTCTGCACACCCGGAACAGTTGACCACACTCTGCCTGAGAGAACCGGCACTCCACCACTCATGGAAACCTGTGACACGGACATAAACTTGACTTGGATTGTTACTTCTCTGCAAGTTATTGATGTGTTGCACTTATAAATATGTTGCTTTTGTCTGGATATTAGGGCAGCCACAAGCTCACATTAGATATGAATGATACTAGCTGTTTTTGAGAATCGGACTGTGCAGCAAATGCGGCCGTTGTTTATGCTGAAAAGCGATCTCGTGGAGGTAGAATAGCCTAATAACCGTGCTTCTGCTGGTAGATACCAGGCCATTACGTACATCTGGCAGACTGACACAATTTAAAGCTGCAACACATCCTCAAGTGTTCTTCAAACTAAGAAAAATTTGTCAGAAACATCTTCAAACCCACCTCGCAGGTTGTACTTCTTGGCAATGGGTAGGGAGAGCAGGCGGACATGGGTGAGAGGGGACGACCAGTTGTAACAGCCCAGACTGACCAGGCCCAGCTGAGGGGCGCTTTGAGGGTACGTGAAGGCCATAACCACTGCCAGCAGCAGGCATATGGCCAAAACCAACTGTAGACAACAAAAACATTAAAACACCAGGAAAAAATTCTCTCTTTTGGCTCCTACTAAATCAGTATTTGACCTTGATGGTGACTCTCAGTAACGGGAACTGAGGAGGTTCTCTTCTGGGCTCGTTGGTCTCCAGGACCTGCTTGATGAACCTCTCAATCTCCCTCTCCGACATGCCGTAGCGGTAGCCCGACTGGCGGAGGATGTCGATGCTCTCAGACAATTTGTCATAGATACATGGCTCGCTCGTTGTCGTTCCCATGACAACGGCAGTGACAGCAGCTTCTTAATCAAACACGTGGACCTTCAGCCGGATCCTGGATCATGGTGTCAGCCCACCTGTAAAGTCAAATGGGATTAAAAAATCAGCACCAGCAGCCTTTGCATAATTTACACTGACGTTGAGGTCATTAATGAGTTTGATTTTTTTCATCAGAACTTTGTCACAAACCTGTCATCTCTCTGTCAAAAGTGACATCTTGGATTTTATTCTTTGTCAGAAAATTGCACAACTGAAATAAAAATCCCAATATTTAAAAGCATGGCGGACCTAAATCTGCTTCAGTGTCCTGAACAGCACAACAATTAGTTAAATATCTCAAATTTAGGGCTGCGCAGTGGTTAGAGCTGTTGCCTTGCAGCAAGAAGGTCCTGGGTTCGCTTCCCGGCCTGGGATCTTTCTGCATGGAGTTTGCATGTTCTCCCTGTGCATGCATGGGTTCTCTCCGGGTACTCCGGCTTCCTCCCACAGTCCAAAAACATGACTGTTAGGTTGATTGGTCTGTCTACATTGTCCTTAGGTGTGAGTGTGTGTGTGCATGATTGTTTGTCCTGTGTGTCTCTGTATTGCCCTGCGATGGACTGGCTCTCTGTCCAGGGTGTACCCCGCCTAATTGCCCGTTGGAGATAGGCACCCCCCCCCCCCGCGACCCTACGTGGACTAAGCGGGTTCAGAAGATGGATGGATCTCAAATTTAAAGAGTGAAATGAAATCAAACTCGCTGTATTTGTGTGGGGTGGACCCAAAGTGAATGACCACATTAGAAGCTGAATCCATAAGGTTAGTTGTTAGTTGCTGTTGAGACTGAGACCTATTTTAACCATGTTACACCACATATCGTGAACTATTACAATCTTGCTTAACCCACGGATGACCTTTGACCCTGCCAGTTGGCGAAGAGAGAAAAATTGTCAACATATGCAGAAAGCTGCAGGAGGCCACCATTGTTGTACAAACAGGAACCTGTTAGCGACAAAATACACAAACAAGATAACCGAAACCAAACCGAGGAAATAACAGACAGAGTGAAATTCACGAGCTTGTGTGGTAGACGATCAAAACCCGACCTGACAGTTTTGGCTAGCATATTTGGTAGTCCTGTCAGACTCCCCCTCAACAACAGCAGACTCATAAACATCCGGAATTCCCACCTTAAGGTCCAGCGTCCGACTGGGAAAATCCCCATTTTCACGCTCTTTCCTAAAATAGCTTGACTTTATCTAAACATATAAAAGAAACTACAGCTAGCTACACGACTGACACTCACACACGAGCATTCTTCTTCCTGAGGATAATTAGATGTTTGAACATTATAGGCGGTTTCGTACACTACCGCCCCCAGCTGGCGAGAAACCGGTACGTCACTGTGACATATCTATCTATCTATCTATCTATCTATCTATCTATCTATCTATCTATCTATCTATCTATCTATCTATCTATCTATCTATCATCTATCTATCTATCTATCTATCTATCTATCTATCTATCTATCTATCTATCTATCTATCTATCTATCTATCTATCTAGTAATTTAGAATAATTGGAATAACACTACACTGAACTGTTTTTGTAATAATTTAAACTTTAGTAAAATAAACAAGCAACTTCTCAGTTCATACACTCACAGGGATGATGCTCGTAATGTTTGCAACTGAATTAGCTCCAGTGTAAGAGTTTTTCTAAGTCGCTCTAGCGAACATCACAACAGAAACTTTGCACAATAGTAAAAGAAAAAAAAGAAGGATTTTTTTGTTTTTGTGAAGCACCTTGTGACTTTTACCTTGAGAGGCACTATAATTTTACACACACACACACACACACGCACGCACGCGCGCGTGTGTGTGTGTGTGTGTGTGTGTGTGTGTGTGTAAAGACCTCTTCTCCCTGGCTCTGATTTGGGAGATTTTGATCCGAGTTACTGAAACGCTGCCATGGAGCTGTCGCTGCCCTTCTGACTTTCACTAAATGGTTTTGATTTGTGTTTTATTTAATTATAAAATCCCCCTAGGCGTTACATATGGGACTGAACAAACATGTTATCTGGTTTTTTAAGATTTAAGGCCTCCTCAGGTGTTTCCATAGGTGTGATAATGTGGATCAGAACAAGTTTCTTTCTGTTTTTACTCACCAGAGTCCTATTTTATCAGCTGAGTGTTTGATCTGAAAAACACCAGGAGGAGTTTCAGCATCTTCTTTGGAATTAGCAAACAAAAGAGATGCATCTGATCTTGTTTATCATTATTTTATTTACTCGTGGTTCACTTTTATGGCTGGAGCCTGCACAGTGTCTGTCCCATTGCTTGCACTAGCAGTAAGAATGTTTGATTACGTTATTACAACCAGAGATAATCACTGTTACAACACACCCAGAAGCTCAGTGACATCTTTAACCTGACCTCTTCCTGAATGTGTAATATCTGCTTCCATCCACAAGGTGGCACTGCAGCCTTTTCACCATGCTGTTTCATACCATTACGACACTTTCTAGACCCCCGTTTGGTTGTTGTACCATCAGGCCTCTTGCTAATTCACGTAACAGCAGCAAACATCTTTATTATGAGATGCTTAAGTAGCAACTAGCATGCAACAATTACATTTAAAGTTGGGGGATTTTTCTGCTTTGTACAAATAAACTTTAGTGTCCTTTCTGAACACCTGGAAATGCAGGTGTGTTTTAGACTATCGTAGATGCTGGGGGAGCAGGTTAAAGTTTGATTATTTATTTACACTCTGCCCTGTAATAATAAGGATTTAGATGATTAGCTCAAACAGGTCTGTTCAGTGGTTTTGAACCAACGTTCACTCAAACTGCCTCTGCACACATTGCTGCTTAATCTGGTCACTTAGTGAGCCTGAATTTGAGTAGCAATCACATCAAATCTCAATTTTTATCTCAAAATGTACCCTGCATTAACAAAAAAAGAACCTGCTTGAGTTTCTTCACTTGCATCCTGACCCTCTGCACTTCATCAGAATGAGCAGATGGGAGGAGATGAGAGGATGAGGGCTTTGTTTCTGCATGAGGTTAAATCATACTGTTAAAGGCCATCTTCCATCCCTCTGACGGGTTTGGGCCGTTCCTCCTGCTGTATGCAGCTCTGCCTGACTCGTTTAATCAGGTTTTGGTGCTATGGGTTATAAATACATTCAGTATAAAGCTGTTCTCACACACCCACAGGAAGGCTCTTTTGGAAGTAATAAACATTTAGCAAAGAGGAATTTGTTTCATCCCAAACAGAAAAGAAGAAACGCTCCCAGTTTATAGGATAAAACTGCAGCACTAGATAAGTCCATTACTGTGTGTGTGTGTGTGTGTGTGTGTGTGTGTGTGTGTGTGTGTGTGTGTGTGTGTGTGTGTGTGTGTGTGTGTGTGTGTGTGTGTGTGTGTGTGTGTGTGTGTGTGTGTGTGTTGGTGGTGAGTAAAGCCCGTGTGACTGATGGGGTTTTCTAACACAACAGATCAGACTGCCTTTCTGTTCTGGCTCACCATCCTTCTGTCTGACTGGGTCCTTTTCTGCTTTCTGCTCCTTCTTCCAATTTTTCTGCCGTTTTTGTTTCTCTGTAATTTTATTTCTACCTCCGTCCTTCCTCAAAGCCGCCTTGGTTTGTTCCCTCAACTGTTTCCTTCCCCTCGTCTCTCCTTCATCCCTCCTTGTTCTCATCTTTCTAATGTTTTCATGCATCTTGCTTCGCTTTAATTCAGTGCAGATTGCCTTTCCTCCCTCATCCATCCCCCCTTTACACCTCTCTCTCTCTCTCTCTCTCTCTCTCTCTCTCTCTCTCTCTCTCTCTCTCTCACTGTCTCTCTCTCTCTCACTGTCTGACACTGTTTCCTCCTCCTTGTCCTCCTTTTAAAGCTCCTTTCTTCGCCTCCCACCCCCTCTCCCTCATTATTCGGTATAATCAGTTGTCTAGACAGAGACTCCCCACACAGATCACACCTGGGAGAGAAAAATGGACACAGAGAGATGAGGAAGAAGAGAGGCACGAGGAGGTGATCAATTCTATTCACCCTTTTTGTCTCCTGAAATTCTTCAAATGCTGAAATGAAATCAGATGACAGAAGGAGATGTCAGAAAGAGGAAACAAGAGGCAATAAAACACCAAAGATGTACAAATCTCACCAAATGCTGTTTGCAATTTGGAAGGGGATGTTTCTTTATTCATTAGATGTTGTTTAATAGATCTTTGGAGCAACAGTTTGGAAAAAGTTACGATATTTGGATTCCTTTAACATCTTTTACCAGTCGATTTCCAGTGAGTTACTTAGAAAAACATCAGTTTTCACTTTTCTCTTTTTGTGGGACAGAGTCAGTGAAATAAAAGGTCAAAGGGTTTTTTTCTAGATGCTGAGGAGGGGGTAAAGGAGTCCAGCCTCATGGCTCTGGGTTTTAAACTCTCTGAGGGGTCAGTGTTACTTCTCTGGATGAGGAAAAGTCATCAGAGACTAAATATTATAAATAAACGGCGGAAGCACAAATATAGCAGCTGATTAAAGTAAATGAAATCGACATGAAGTTAACGTGAGCTCTGTAAACAGCAGAGATGCTGCTGACAGCAAAACAAATAATCTGAGATTTGAGATTACAACAAAATGCAGCGAGGCAGGAAGCTGGACGCATTAAAACAGTCCCAGAGTCATCAGATTAGTGTGATTGTACTATGACATCATCAAATCCTCTACCCAACACTCGCTCTGGATGAGGATAAAAATATGATCTAGTTGTGTGTTTTAAAATTGTTATGCAAATGTAAAAATTTGCAGTATTTTTAAAGAATTTAGCATCTTTTAAAAGTGCAGCTAAAACTTTTTGTGCATTATTGTGTGTGTGTGTGTGTGTGTGTGTGTGTGTGTGTGTGTGTGTGTGTGTGTGTGTGTGTGTGTGTGTGTGTGTGTGTGTGTGCTAAATGAAAACTAGAAATAAATGTCTGTAAAGCATTTACTTTATTCATTTTGTGTGTTTGTGTGGGCCGAGCTGCCTCTGTTTTCATCTTTTATTTGTCTTTTCTGCTTTTCTTTCTTTTCCACTGATCCTCTGTTTCATTGTAGTTTTAGCTCCAAACACGGTGTGGCTGCTGTGACCGCCTACACTGAACAAGTTGGAAGTTTTATATTATTTATAAAACATCCATCCATCTCTTTTCTTCCGCGTATCCGGAGTCAGGTCACAGGGGCAGCAGCCTAGGGAGGCCCAGACTTCCCTCTCCCCAGCCACTTGGAACAGCTCCTCCGGGGGAATCCCAAGGCGTTCCATAGCCAGCTGAGAGTCTCTCCAGCTTCTCTTGGGTCTCCCTTTAGGTCTCCTCCCGGTTGGACGTGCTCAGAAAACCTCACCAGGGAGGCATCCAGGAGGCATCCTGACCAGACGCCCGAGCCACCTCAACTGGCTCTTCTCGATGTGGAGGAGCAGCGGGTCTACTCCGAGCCCCTCCCAGATGACCGAGCTTCTCACCCTCTCGCTAAGGGAGAGCCCAGCGACCCTGCGGAGAAAACTCATTTAAAAAAGGTTTTCTGTAAAAATATATCATCCCATCATTGATTCAGAGGGAAAACAACACAACGAGTTAGTTTACATTTTTCAAATAGCCGTTTTAGTCTGAAAAAATAAAAAAGCTGCTATGCACTGAGAATAAATTTGATGCTTTCTTATTATTTCCTATCTATGTATTTTAGCTGTTTGTATTAGAAGTTCAAATATTGTTTCAGTATAACGTTTTCCTGGCAGAGATCTAGGAGGAGATAAAAAGTAAGTTTTCCATCCTTTTTTTTTACTTTTGCATTGAACAAAGACCCAAATAGTTATTTATTTGTGCCACTTGATGTCTGCAACATTTTTCATCAGTTGCTGCTGTTACCACAAACACAACACTCTCACCTGGATTGCTTAGGATAGGATCTGTGTGGTGATAGTTTTTTTTTACTCTATCCACTTTTCACTTTCCTAGAAGTGATTATTGTCTAACACAAAAGCCTTTTTCCTTCTTATTTGTGGTCAGAGGAAACATCTGAGCTTAAAAACCCCAACCTGAAGCTGCAGCAGGTAGGCGTCCACTCAAGCTTTCCCGGTGATTGAGCAGCTTTTCCGCCCGCTCCTCATCCCAGGGATTGAAATGAAACTTTTTTAACCAGCTCTGTTCATCAGAAACAAAAATGAGAACCTTGTCTTGTTTCTAGAAATGGTGAAGAACATTTGGTTCATTCTAAACACGTGTCTACTGATTCTAACTGTGAAAAATGAACAAACAAAAACTTTAAGTGTGAAACTACCAGCTGACGGCTGCAGACACGACTTTCCTACAGAAACTGGAATA